TAAGAAGGCTAGCAGTTGGCAGGACATTTTTTTAAATGTCCTGGGCCGTCCTTGCTTAGTTTTTTGCTTCCCTGTAGCGTCTTAAGGGACTTCCCCAGACCAAACACCAAAGGCTGACAGAAGGAAGGAATATTTTCACTCTGGAAGGAAGAAGTAGAAATGGGTTCTTATGGCTAGAGCACGCATTTTTCATATCCAACTTAGATACGGTTATTAATGGAGCAAATTCACTTGTTTTACATAGACACTTTTGTGCTGGCTTTTTAAAAAATTTGATAACAGTGTAGCATCTCCACAGAAGTTGTGCTCTCTGCTTGGGCATTCTCACCCCAGATAGGTGCAGGCCTAGAGTCAGGGTCATTCTGATGGTATGCTATCTCATAACTCCCAATGCTTAACACACAGTACGATGAACGAGCCCATGGTCTGACAGGCGTGTCTGGGTTGGGAACACCTTTAGGGACAGTGGGCCTTAAGGAAGAACACAAGTAGCGGGGTTTGGTAACTCCCAGATGCAGGGTACTGTGGTAGCTATCCACAGTAGCTATGCCTTGACCTGATATTAACAATACAGAGGTATGCTGTCTTTCTGCAGCATGTTTCCAGGATAAAAACAGAGAACCTCCCAAGACTTTTCTAACCAGGTGACTACTATCCATTCACTTTTGGTGATTAACATGGGCAAAAATGATGCTGCCAAAAGGAATCAAGAAAACATTGCTAATCATTCCTAAGGATTATGAAGCTTTGGCCAAAAAAAATCGAAAAGCATAGGGGCATGGCTAGTGTTTTCATTATTGCCACGGATGGTAGGCAAGCTCTGTAGAGTCAAGATGCAAATCTGGGAAGCAAACTCCTGGTAAAGAAGACAGGAATTGTGAACAGTTTTGACTGTCTGGACTATAGCCTAAACCTAACAGCTTGGTTTTTTTAGTCTATTTCCTGGAATCCTATGAATCTAACTAAAAGGGTTCTGAGGGACATGTTACAAGCTAGTAAGCTTGAACAAGCATGATGAAATGACTAAGAAACACCACACATGAGTCAGTTGAAGGAATTCAGGTCTTACTGGCTTTGAAGAGCTGTCACATGGAAGGGGGAATACATTAGCAGGTTCTCTCCCTGGAAATAAATCTGCCTTGTCAGGAATATCACAGAGACGATTCTTGTTTGGCACCCCTTTCCAATGCCAGAACACAGAAATTCAGATTCTGGGATCGTGTTCATCGCTTGCTCCCAATGGCTTCTTAGCCCTGACAGGACAAAACCCAAGCTCCCAACCCCACTTTACTCCTGCTCCCCACCCCAGACCACAGATCAAGCTAGAATGGACTTTGAAGATAATCCAGTCACACTGTCTTATTTTATCAGGGAGGAAACTGAGCCTGCCTTTGCAAGTCTGGGTGACTCGTAGCATCCACAAATGAGGAGAGAAAGCCAATTCCAGAAGGGTATGACAGGTTCATTTAAGCCTAAGTGAGAAGCAAGCACATTTTATTTCCCAGTCCTCCGCTACACAACCAAGGGAGACTGCTGTTTTCTCTTGGCCACCAAAGTAAGAGTCCCTGATGGGCAGAGACCGTATCTTTCCTTTAAGAGCTCTCTTCATTGTATACAGGTACAATGGGCACAATCATCTCTGCATCCACTGGTGACTTCACCTGTGGAAGGTTCCCACACCGAGAGAAGCAAATCACAGCCCATCTATAACTTTGTAGATAAGTCTTACAAGGTGGCCTGGGGCACAGGATCATTAAATCCCTTGCCCAGGGTCACATAGCCAGGATCAGAGGCACTGTATAAACCCAGGTCTGGTCTGACTCCAAGTACAGCAATTTCTCTACGAGGATGTTAGGGACAAAAATAATTGCCAAGTAAATGCATCCAAAAGGAGAGAGAGGTGGGTGTAGAGCTGGTTGGAAAATTGTGCGCTGAGCTAAGAACGACGAAATGAAAGAAAGAGCAGGAAGTGCTTACTATGTGAAAAAGAATGTGCTAAGCACTAGGGATAGGAACAGAAAACCCCTCATCTCAGGGAGTTCACATTCTAATACATAGGGGATGTCAGCTACAGGTCAGCAGGGAAGGTCCCCCTAGGGTCCTATGGAGATGCATGGCAATGAACCATCTTTCATGCCATCCCCAATGATAACACCTAATTGGTTTCTGCTGCTGACTATCTGATGGGATCAAGAACTTAGGTGGAGAAGTTTGGTCCTTGGGGCCCATGCAGAACGAGACCAATTCCTTTTCCATGACAGTAGCTTTTCCCCATGCCAGGAATGCTCCCCCTCAGCACCTCTGCCCGAGCTCCCCATTTATTCAAGGAGTCCTTCCTAGTCTGCCCTCCCTGCATCTAGTGCCTTCTCTCTGAGAATACCTCCCATTTATACTGTATCTATTTCGTACATATACAGCTGCATGCACATTGCCTCCCCTATTAGGCTGTGAGCTCCTTCGAGGCAGGAACTGTTTTTGCCCATCTCTGTATGCCCAGGTCTTAGCCCAGTGCCTGGCACATAGGAAATGTTTGATCAATGCTTCATGACTGACCGTTCTCCACCTTAAACATGCTCACTTCCTTCACTGGATGTTGTGGGGGCCCTTCCAGCTCTATTTCTATTTTCTTAGGCCCACCCCATCCCCCAACACATATGCACAAAGAACATGGATCAAGAGCTCACAAGAACCCAAGATCATCTGAGCCAACTTCATCTCACAGATGAGGAAACTGAGGCCCAGAAAGGTGAAGCACCTGCCCAGGGTCATACAAGCCATTTGCCTTCCTCTGGTGGACACTCTCCTAATTTCTCAATATCCTTCCTAAAACACAGCACCAAGAATCAAATCCAGCGAGGTGGCACAGTGGATAAAGGCACCAGCCCTGCAGTCAGGAGGACCAGGGTTCATATCCCGCCTCAGACACATAACACTTACTAGCTGTGTGACCCTGGCCAAGGCACTTAACCCTATTGCTTCACCAAAAAAACATAAATAAAATCCAACATTCCAGATATGACCTTCCCAGCTAAGGGCATGGTGGGCTTGCCACCTCCCCCGTCCTGGACACTCTGCCAGCTTTTTTGGCTATATTTCATTGAGGGATTCACACTAAACTTATAGCTAAAATCCCCAGATCTTTCCTAAAAAATTGCTCATACCTCCCCAATCCTATACTTTTGGAAAGATTTTTTTTGAATCCAAGAATACTTTTACATTTATATATAGCTAGAAAGCTATAACACTTTTAAGGTTTACAGAGTTCTTTATAAAGATTACCTCCTCTTGATCCTCACAATGACCCTGGGAGGTAGGTGCTGCTATTATCTCCATTTTACAGATGAAGAAACTGAGACAAACAGGGTTAAGTGACTTGTCTGAGGCTGCGCAGATTCCAAGTCCATACTCTACCCACCTCACCATTTCGCTGCCATCTGGCACTATGAGATAGTATCATATTAGACAGGCAGGCTAAGGAAGGAACAGCTAACACTCTTCCAGAAGAGGAGAGAGAGGAACATGTATGTTCTGAAAGACAACCAGCCTCATGCCCTCCAAAGAAAAGATGACATGGTGCCACAGGAGCAGTCCAGTAACCCCAGAGGAAGAAATGACTCTAATGAAAATCTAGGCCAAAGCGCTCTGTGTGGTGCAAGGAGTGATTATTTCCAACTTGTGGGATCAGGAAAGGCTCCACAGCATAGGGCCTTAAAGGATGGGGAGGTTCTCTAAAGGGCAAAATTAAGGACCAGCCTCTCCACTCACTTTTGAGAATATAAAGGGTAATTTTTTCATCCTCTAACAAAGGGGCAGGGAACCTGCAGCCTTGAGGCCATATATGAATCCAAACTTCACAGAACAAGTTCCCTTAATAAAAGGATTTGTTCTGTAAATCTTGAACTCAGTCAAAAGGCTGCACCCAAGGACCTTCTAAGGCCACATGCGGCCTCGAGGCCACAGGGTCCCCACCCCTAAATTCTAATGGTAACCTAACATTTTATGGTTTGCAAAATTTACAGATATTACTTCATTTGATCTTAAGACCAACTCTGTGAACTATGTATTATGGGAATTTGCACACAGAGGGCACTTAACACTTTCTCATTTGTGTCCACAACAGACTCCAAGCTCTCCCATCTTTTAAGCCAACCTTTAACTCACTCAGTGCTTACACACCAAACCTTACGTATCATCAAGCACTCAGTAAATAGTTACTGACTGAATTTTTCTCCAAATCACATTTTTAGCTTCTTCCAAGTTTAACTTTGTAAAATGTTTTGTTTATTACTCATTTAAGGAGAGGGCATTTTGATAGAGGAGCCACCCAACACCACTCCTGTCATTTTCAAGCTAATTTTGAAGAGGAAGATAATGCAAGGTCAGCTGGACTTTAACAAATATAACTGCCAGGGAAGCAATTCTGAGGGTAGGCCAAAGAGAAGTGATTTCTCAGGTCCCCTATAGTTCTAAATCCGATGATCCTATGAAAAGCACGGCTGGAAAGCAGCTAACCTCATTAGGACTGGTCCGACAACTGTCGTCATCCCACCAATAAACTTGGTATCCTTCTAAGCCAAATGGACTCTCAAATTAAAGCTGCTTTCTAGAGCACTGCAGTATCCATAGCAATCTGAAGAGACCCAATTTAACTGTCCTCGCCTCTGCGACAAATATTTTAGCATCTGAAGCGTTTGCTTCAAAAATGGACAATATGTGATTGTCAGAAAATGTGCCACTGCACAGATCAAAGTAAAATGTTTAATATTAACAGAGATGAAAGAGCCTTTGGCAACGGTGCGTTGTCATTAAGTGGATGCTACAGAGTGAAGGTAATTGCTGTGATAGGACAACTTTTCCAAAGACAACCATGAAGGCAAATGTGGATTTCTGCTTCACGTGAAGCAAAGGTTTTACACGAGCACTGAACTGGTAACTACCTGTACCAGACAGCACACAAAGTAAACTCTGTGTATTTGAAACACACTACACAAGCACAAAACTATTTTTAAATAAAAAAGATTTATTTCCAAGACTGTAAAACAACTCCTGAAAGATCACCTTTCCCAGAAAACCAGATACACAATAACGCTTTTTTTCTACCGTGAGAATGTGCATTAGAATCAAAATACGAAAACAGAAACACAAACCACCGTTCTTCAACAATGTGGGTGAGGAGAAAAAGGCTTGAGAAATAACATGTTTACTTCAAGCACTAGGAAGAAAGACGAGCACAAATGAGTCAGGAGCTATATATGAATTAAACCTTTGGCACTAGGAATCAGGGTGTTTTGTCACTTAGCATTCACAGGGATCATCAAAGTGCTTAGTGTCAAAGGGATGAAACCACCAGAAATCAAGCAGCTTTGTCAAATATACACTGAGACATCCTATATACAGCATATCACTCTCTGTGTCCGTTCGTGCACACACTGGCAGCAACTCAGAAAGGGAAGGAAGGGCTGAAGCCACCCCCCTTTGTACTTTCTATCTCAAACAAAAGAGACTATTTAAACATCAGTCCTGTTTTACATAAACACAGTTTTAAAGTACAATATCTGTGCAAGAGAGGGACTAATAGAACATATAGATAGCTTAACAGAGACCCAAAGACAACAAAAAGCATCTGACTCCTTAGACAGCTTTCCGATGATATTCAGGAGGGGCAACCTCATAGTCAGTGGCGCTAAACAGCGCTGAAGAATTCTTCGCCAAATATCTAGACAAAGAGAAGAGTCTGTGGTTAAAAGGAGAACTTAGAAACAAGTAGAACCTGCTGCTCCCAGCACCACTCCTCCATGCCTATAATATTTATTCATACATATTACACATTTATTCCCTTTAAAGATTCCCTTAAACAAGCCTTGTTCAAAGAATATTTAACATGCAGACCTGAGTTTAACCATCAAAGATTATAATCCTGAAAAGACATTCTTTGTTCATTTTCTCTTACATGTCCCTTCCTGTTCTATTCAGCATTTTTCAAACTATTCTCACCCACACTTACTTTAAAATGTGGAAGCACAATTCAGATAGTTTAGCTATTTAAAGACTACCAAAAATAGGTCTACAAAACTGAATAAAAAACAGTTATCAGAAGGTATACAAGTGGAATTGGTTCCTGGCTTAAGACACACCAAGTATCAAAAGTCTGACTACATACAGAGTTCTAGAATGATAATATCTAAGGTGAATTCTTTCAGTGCTTTAAAATCAATTTATCAAGCTCTGTGCAAACACTAAAAATTAAGATCTGCAATAAAGATAGGGACTGGAGCTCTAATACAATAATTCCCTAATACAGGGGACTCCCTCTAGCAATGCAGGTCAACACCTCCTCTGCAACATCTAGTCTTAGAGGTATGAATAGACGTTCAAAGCTCCTAAAATCAAAGCTTAGAGGTGGAAGTGACCCTGGAGGAAAATCTGATCCAACCCCAACATTTTACAAATGAGAACAATCAGGTCAAGAAGGAAGGGCTGCGCCCAAGAAGAACCAGCCAGTCAGTGACACAGACACATTAGCAGCCGGTGTGACTCCCACGGCAGCAGTCTTTGCATTACAGACCCGCCCTTACTTCCTTCTGGTACACCAACATACTTACTTTAAGAAATCATGCAAATAGTTCAACAATAAAGCCAAACTCTTCTCATCAAGGGGTGTATAGGCCAACATTGCTCCAATTCTCACTATTTAAAACAAAAGAACAGAATTTTAGCATCAATGTTCTCTCTGCCAAGTTTCCATTAGAGGCAAAATCGAAAACTACATAGTAACATCCTATTATGTTTGAAAATGAAGCTCAAGCTGCTCAAGCTTAACTACATCAAATTCTATGAAGTCTAGATTCAGAAAATCCACCACCTCTGACTTTCCCAGGCTAGGACTGATAATAAATACTTTAGAAATCTAAATCAGAATGCTATCCCTCATTTCAGACAATTGTTTCACATTTATCATTAAGTCTCAATCAAATAAACAAGCACTACTTAAGTGCCCATTATAGGCCAGGAACACAAATACAAGTGGCCAGATGCATCGGAGAGGCCAGGGAACAACGACCACATACCGAATAACCGCAGCAGGTGCGGGGCTCCATAGACCTGCGACATCGGTGCGTCGGGGTGATCAGCGAGGATCTCCGCGTACTGTGGCCTCTCGAATTTGTAGAGCAGCTGAGTGCCCAACATGACATTGAAGTATTCTTTGATCCCTGCCACCACTTCATTTACGGCATACTCCCTACAAACAGAAGCCACCCTGAGCATGAGTGGATGCTGAGACCAGCGTCACGACTGAAGACCAAATGTGAGAAATGGCACTTCTGGTGCGAGTCAGGCCTGGGGGCAGCACGCCCAGTCAAGTACTGCTTCACTGCAATGACTATCCAAGCTTATGTTTCATTTCTCTGTGTCACATCTTCCTGACCAGACTACAAAATCATTGCCAGTGGATTACCAGTGCATCCCCCGGCCTACCCCAAGGAGGGACTGCCGTCTGCTGTTTCATCAGATTGACAAGACTGGAGGGGAACTTCTCAAAATAACTTAGAACCTCCTCTCTAGGACCTAGGTTGGTGAGCAATGTCTTTAGCTGTGAGACTTAGCTGGCACTTCCATTTTACAACATGAAAAGCAACAGTAATGAATTTGGGTTTTGTTCATTCATCAGGATAAGGTGGTATCAGACATTACAGCTCAAAAGGCTCAATCTAAAATTGTTAGATTAGTCTCCATGAATATCTAAAGCCAATGCAATAAGAACATAAAGTTCAATGAGGCCTTAGATTAACTAGCACGGATAGTTTTTCCAACAGTGTCACCTGACTGTCTGCCATATCCTGGGGCTAGCGATCAAAGGAGAGAACTTTGCACACCTAGATACGTGGTAACTCTTCAGGCTGCTCATATCATTGTTACTACTACTACTAAGGTCAAGGCCATAGGTTGAATTAGCCATAGCCTGTGTTCTATGGCCAGTCAGACCACTAACCTCACCCCAGGACAAGCTGAAGCCAGGAGTGAAGTCTGTGGTTACGGAACAAGAATAGGCTAAGTAAGCCATGCAAAACCCACTACTGCATAATTAAGTAAAGTAAGTGGACAGAGACAAAATTCAGTAGCAAGCAAATTAATCTCTACAAATACTGAACAAAAGATAGGATAGCCACCTGGAGATGTTTTGCTAGAGATTTCATGAAAGTTTGGGTATCTAGCTAGTACCATCTGGACAAGTTCCAAATCTCAATTCCATTTATTTCCAATTCCTATACATCACTGAGTCTGTCTCTAGTTTGGATAATGACTATAGAACATATAAGCAAGTAAGTTTATATGGCTGGGTGGACTAGATATTTAAATGAAATGTTTTTATAGCATTGCCATAGAGTATAGAGCGTTTTTATAGTACTGCCCTTCCCTTTCGCAGGGAAGTTCATTACTGGAACAGGCATTAGGAAAGAATGGGAGTAGAGGAGCTTACTAAAAAAGAAGAGTCCAGCTCTACCAGTTTCAAATGTAGAACATACTAATTGGCTAGTCTCTGGTGATGTATATTTTCAAGCTAAGTACAAACTCCAGGTGATCCATCTAAATTACAAATAGAAGCCATGAAGCTGTATTTACTGCATAAAAGCTATACCTGGCATTCCTACAAGGAGCTTCTTTTTAGTTAAAGTCATCTCACTCCCTTAAGAAAATAGAACATGCTTACTTGTTATCTGTGTTTCCACGTGATTTCTTGTAACTCGCATAATCTTCCAGAATTGAGTCCACATTCTTCTTGGCAGGAAGATAAAAAAGCTACAAAACCAATATAGTTCAATACCAGCAGTCTTACCCATTAAAAAAAACAGTAACATTGGGGTAGCTTTAAGGCATTAAAGCTCAAATGAAGGTCATTACAAGACAGGAACAATAAAGTTTTCCAAAATGTTCATAATCTGCTGACCAAACCTATGTAGACTATAGTGGCAAAGATGACCATACGTTGGTGCCTATTCTGGCCCTCAATTTTAAAGGATGGGTAGGGCAACTACATCCTAGTCCTAATATATATAAAATTTCTATTTTGGACCAAGGAATAACTAAACTACATGAATCTAATGAGATGTGTTTTTCTCATAACCACTATATCAACTCTGCCTAACAATTTAAGACAATAACACCATTCTCTTATACTCCTGAAAGCAATGGATTGAGTGACATAAAAAAAAGTTCCTTCAAAGCACAGATGCACTTTATTTTTACATGAAAAACTGTAACTCCTAAAAGACTTAAGAAAAGTTTTCTAAAATACAATTATAAAAAAGTGGAATCAAAAAAATTACAGCCCTGCCCATTAAACAACACTACGTACAAAATTACAATAATCAAAAATAAATCATTTGCCAGTTTTTCAGTACTCAAAACTTTATCTGCTTAATCTGAATTCTCTACAAGCATTCTTTTCAGGTCTGCCATTTTAAAGTACTCTCCAACAATGCATTTTTATCACAAATAACAGAATTCTATTACAAATGACTTTCAATAGCCCTTTTATTAACATGCTGCAGTAGCTGGACAAGAAGCATGGCAATATGAATAAGGGGCCCAGACTGAAGAAAGGGGTCCAGTCCTACCTCTGACACAAACCTGCCATGAAATCCTGGGGAAGTCACTTAGCCTCAGGGCCCCACAAAGACTCTTTTAAGATACCAGTGCTGAACTGCAGCTGGTTCACTCAGTCACTTAGTTGGGTTAGGAGTGTTTCATACTAAGGCACTCCACACACCAATGAAATCACAGGAAGGGGACATCTTTCCTGCTTCCACAACTATCCTGTGGGCTACATTAGTCATCTCTCTCTCAACCATTAACTGATGAGAGCATGAGTTTGACAGCATCGTAAACCTATTAAGTAGATGTAACCCCTATCCCAGCATCAGTATTAAAGGGTTCAGCATATGAAACTACAACAATTCAACACATCATCTCCAAAGTACTCCAACAGACAGATGTGATCTCATGGTGCCCTGCCCATGTTCTTTTTAATTTGGCTGGCATCCTTTACTCTAATTCTTCCAAATGCTTTACTTGTTTCTGTTACAGCCCATTTCCCTTTGTGGAGACACTCACTTTTAATTCCTTGGACACTGCTGGGTTGTATGACTCACTATCAAACAATATCCAGAGAATTTCACTGTTAAAAAGATGGATCTTTGTTTCTCAGGGAAGTCTAAGGTCATTTAAAAAAAGTTCTGGAATTTCCTGAAAACAATCCGGCCTGATGGCCTCCTCCTGATTAATGCACTGATCCATTTGTGACCCATTTCTACTGCCTGTCCATGATATTCATACTGAGAGATAAGTTCTCCAGGTTCTCATATGAACTGCACATCCTAACTTGCACCTGACACGCTCTATCCACTCAGCTTTCTCTGTATGACTGGTTAGGCCAGGATTTTTTTAGGGGTTCCAGATCTCTCCTAGGAGGCACTGCAATGTTCAGGCCCTTGACAGAAGCGTCACACCATTCATAAAAGGAAGCCCTGGAATTTGAGATTCTGCTGGATTTCCTCTCTGAAAGTGACAAGCACCTCTAGTGAACATATGAGACTTCCTGCATTATTCCTCACCTGATCTTTATGATCAGAGGGCCATAAAACAAAGTTCCCAGTGTTCTGCTTTTCAAGGAATCTTCAACAACTTCTATGTATAGATGTTGGAAGTAATCCTTTAAGGTAGAGTTTTGCTCTACCAAATCAAGGTTTTCTTATGACCAACAATAAGCAGAAAAAGATCGTGTATTCTCTATTCTTTCATCCAGTCACGTGATTGTAAAGATGCAGACCACCATGAAACAGCATTTGTGAAGGCCTGCCTGTTCCCTACCACTGCCCTCACTGAGGAAGCCCTCAGTGGATGTATGTAGACGATTCTCAGAAATTCTGGGGTGATGGTCAAGGAAGCACGCAGGTCAGCAGGCAAGGGAGTCTTCCTGAGTTTTTACCAAGCCTCTGGTGTCTTTCTCTTCATTCATATACCATGAGACTCTATGCTCTGAAGTTGTCACCATCGTGCTGTTTCCAAGACAAGTCTCCTCTCTGTACACTTGGTGTCATCCAGCCCTTCTGCCCATTTCTGTCCAAGACTGGGGCTCTATTGTCACAGGACCAGAGACTGATAGCCAGAAGGACCACTAAAGACCCCTCACTTTATAGGTCAAGACCCTGAGACCCAAAGAGGCTAAGGATCTTGTCCAGCGTCTAAAGCAGGGTTTGAAGCCAGGTCTCCCTGACACCAAGTCCAATGCCTATCTACCAAACGGTCCTGGAGGATTGAAAAAGAAAAAAAAGTGATAAAGGTGTGTGCAGATCTTTCCCGTTTTCCTCTGTGCGCTTCCCTCCTTAACGTCTCTGGAATGGCTCTGCTCAGTTGGGCCGCTTAATAAACTCTTTAACGGGTTTTATGCTCTAGTGCTTCTGCTTCAGAGGTGATACTGCTCATCACCCGCCATCCTCAAAAATGCACACACAAACTTACATTCCAAACGAACGCTACACGCCGCCTGTGGTGCCACCGCTCTCTGCTTAATAAGAGTGGGCCTGACTATTATTAAGTCAGTCAGCCACACGTTTATGAAGGCAGTGTGTTCTGATTTACCAAGGTCAAACTTTCATAAGAAATTCAGTAACACTATATACATAAATACACACACCCACACACACACACACACACAAAATCTATCCTTTAACCCATGGTAACTAGAGTCAAACAGTTCTACAGCTTGGAGGAAGGAGGGAAGGAAGAAGAGTAATTTACATAAATCAAAATTCCTTACGCAATTATTATAATACGCATCTGTCTTTCATGTAAAATAACTCAAGTCAAAAAGTTATGTATCTTAGGGAAGGGGAGAAAGGAAAGGGAAAGAGAAAGGCAAATCAATCAAATGGACTTCTCTACACAAAGTCAAACAACCACTAGTTTGACTTATCAATCTGCCATGGAACTGACTAAATTTTTTTAAAACTAGTCAATGACATTATGTTTTTTTCCATAGAAGACTGGTAAAGGAAACAACCAGTAATGCCTGGCTTCCTGTTGATGAAATATGAGTGTAAGTAAAGCATTCTGCAAACTTTAAAGGTCTACAAAGTGAGCTGTTATTACTACTCCACCATAGCACAAGTCATACTACAGTAACTTGATGATGGAGAAATCGACAAATCCAAGAAAAGTAAGAAAGTCACTTGGTTCACATGTACCCAAATATTTTTTAGGAGTCCCATCTACTTAGAGATAATTTGCTCTTGGAAAGCCAGCTGAGCCAGCTAGGATCCAGATCAGTTTGACACTTTGTCCCTTTTTAGATGGCTAAAATAGGGAGTTTGGCATACAAGTCCTCACAAAGATGAGCATAAATAGCCAAGGAAGGATGGGTTGGTTAGATGGAACAGACTTACATCTGCTCCCCAGCTCTTTCAGGCAGAGTGAGATCTTGCCTTTTGGACAGAACCTCACTTGAATGGAATTGAGCTTTAGTCCTGGGTCTTCTCTACCAGACCACCATGAAGACTTGGGCAGATCAAAGGGTGTAGTGTCAGATCAAGACTGGGGTACTCCCAAGCAGCTATCCTAATAAATATAACCAGCCATCCACAAAAAAAAAAGGGGGGGCAACGGGAATAATAAGAAGTGGCAGTAGTTGTTCAGTCATTTTCAGTCACATTTGACTCTTTGTGACCCCATTTGGAGCTTTCTTGGCAAAGACACTGAAGCAGTTGGCCATTTCCTTCTTCAGATAATTTTACAGATGAGGAAACTGAGGCAAACAAGGTGAAGTGATTTGCCCAGGGTCATACAGCCAGTAAGTGTCTGAGACTATATTTGAACTCAGGTCTTCCTGACTGTAGGCCCAGTGCTCTATCCACTGCGCCACCTAGGGCCCCAGGAAAGAAGTGCAGCCACTATTTTAGTGACAAGAAAGAGATGATGCTCTTTTCTGCCAAGAAAAAACATACACTGGACAGACAAAATGATTGATGATGAGCCTACTGGAGGTGCCCAAGAGAATATCCAGGACCAGAGCAGTAAAAGTCTTTTGCCACACCTAAATTCAGGACACTTCTTAAAAATCATAGTCAACTCGAGGGACTTTTTTTGACAAATTCCAGTAGAGCAAGGGCCAAGATTGCCCAAGATCAGGCTGTTTAAGTACAGGACCTCAGAGGAACTGGAAATCATATGACTGAGTCACTGTGACCCAGACAGGGGGGCACAGCATCACATCAGGGGCTGCCAGATATTCTATCAGGAACCTCGATGGGCCTATACCTCAGTTTCCATCAGGTTTTCTTGTTTTGTTTTGTTTAGGGGGAAAAGGGTCAGGGTGCAAGACCACCAAGGAAAAGAGCTTTCTTGCTGAGGCGAAGGTGGGCAGAAGATGCTATTTAGGTCTCAGGCACGCTGGTTAACAAGGAGGAATACGGATATCACAAGGAGTCAAACTGCAAGAGAGCTTATGGCAACACATACGAAGGCAGAGCTAAACTGTAGTCACTGGAGTTGCATGAAATGTCAATATTCAACAATGTGGGCCCAGAGACTGAGCTGGGATGTGTGAGTTATTTCTCCCCTAGTAATGGAGATAAAGGCGACTGAAGTACCTCATTATATGAATTGAGGAAGGCAGATAGTACATAGTGATTTATAGGTTATAAAAAGCTGAATAATGTTGTTCAGCCAATTGCTGCAGCCATTTCTGGCCTTTTCAACATGGTAGACCAGGTAGCCCACGCCCAGGACTATTGGTATGAAGTTACTGATTTCACCAATACTGTTTTCTCTATTCTCATAGCTGAGACTAGTCAAAGGCAGTTTGTTTTTACCTTGAAAGGAGTTCAATACACCATTACCAACCTTGCTCAGTTATCTGAACCTCCTTAATATCGCCAAGGTTTGGTGGGCAAAGACCTGAAAGAGGCACCCATGTCCCCTCAAGGGGACAGTCTCCCCTAATTCAATAACATAATGCTAACTGGCCCAGATGAGATCTTGGTAAGTACATTATGCCATGATAAAAGTGATGAGACAGGGGCAGCTAGGTGCAAAGTGGATAGAGCACCGGCCCTGAAGTCAGGAGGACCTGAGTTCAAATCTGTCCTCAGACCAAACACTTGACACTTACACTGGGCAAGTCCCTTAACCCCAACCGCCTTAAAAAAAAAAAGTGATGAGATGAGGAGGCCCACGGCTGTGGAGCAGTGCGAATACAATGAACTTTAGCTCACAGCTGGCTAAGTTTTGTGGACCTGTTTTCTTTTGTTTATTTTTTGTTATAAGAAATGGCTCTGGTTTGGGAAAAGGAAGTGAATACATTTAGAAATTAATGTTATGTAAAAACAAAAAGATAGTTAAAAAAAATTATGACACAAATGTCATTAATGTAGCCATCATTAAAGTTAATGAAGGATTACGAATTCCTTGGGCACATACTAGCCGTGTGATCCCACACAAGTCACTTAAATCCTTAGTGCTCTAGGCCAGTGGCATGCAACATCAACAGAATCAAGCATATGTACATAAGGATACCTGCCGGCCGAATACCAACTCAGAAAACCACATATTAACATTCTCTGTTCTACTGTTGCCTGCACACAGGAGTGTAGTCCCACACACGTCCGACATCTCTACTTACGGCAATTCTCTGCAAGACTATAAATTACAAAGAAGATGCCATAAGGTGGTAGAGTAAGTCTGCTCACCCTGAAACTGCCCAGACCAATGGGAAAATCACAGGCCCAGTTTCTATACCCTGTCCCTAATTACTTTTTACTACATCTGATATACAGATAGCTTAAGTACCAATGGAGTCTAAAAAAGGTCAAATTTTAAGTCAACTGTACTGAATAAAGAACTAGGTGCATAAAAGGAAAAATCAAAAAAAAGGTCCATCTGCTGGCACAAAATAAACTGTTCATTCATTTATTTATGCCCTTCATAAATGTTGTATGTTAATTTTATTGTTACTTATAAATAAATGGCACCAGATCACCTACAAGAGGTTAACTCTGAAGGGCCAAGTGATAACAAAATGGCTAAATGTAAATTCTATAGTTAGGTGGTCTTAATACGCTATTCTCACTACCACCGTCTTACATGATTGAGAAGTCAAGACTGGACAGGAAAGCAAAAAGAGCTACATAAGTGTTTTTCCACTGAATGACAGACTTGCTGCTAACACCTAAAAATACCTTCCTTATCTATACTCATGACAGCAACATTTGCCACTAGCCTATTTTGAGATAAGCACAAATAATTAATATTCCTTGTAAAGGTCAAATTTTCTTAACAGAAAAAGTACCTGTTTTTGTCTGGTAATCAAGTCCCAATCATCAACAAGCCAAGGTTTCAGCTCTTCAGGAATCTTTACTTTAACTTCAACTCTGTTCATAAATGTTTCTTCCTGAATAATGAACAAACAAAAAAGAATATTTTCTTCATGATGAAAAAAAATCCTAAAACATATTATTTTTCTAGGCCCTAAAAATGATTGAGTTATACAATATATTTAAATACTTGAATGGTACTACCACTTCAAAAATTTCAAATGAAATCAAAGGAACCCAGCTACTTTGGGAAAAAATTATTATTCTGAATCAGATGGGGAAAAAAATCTTCTCAAGTAAAGCTAACTTGTAACTTATAACCTTAAATCTTAGAATTATTTTAAACGTAGATCTGAGGTTTCATATTTATTGATGACATTTCAATCAATAAGAAATATATGGACATCCCTAAATACTAACTACAATCTGATTTCTAGTTCAGTTTGGAGTAATTGCCTACAGACAGCAATTTCTAGCCTATACCACTATTTATAATTTACAATTTTAATTCAAACACAGAAACTGTTAGAATCATTAAGTTCACAATATGTAGTCAACCAAAAGCAACAGAATACAGCAACAAAATATATATATATATATGTCTATATTTAGCAGACAATATTAAACACTTAAATGATTTCAAAATATTAATTACAAAAGAACTATGTAACTAATATTTATAAATACACACAATAAGATGAACTATTTTACAATGTTTTTTATTATATGGAATTACTGGCCAGGTTAAACATCATATATCTACTCAACTAGAACGAAAGGTCTGTCAATCTTCAGCTATTAAATGTCTTGAGAGCAAAGGAAAAGCCACTTCACAAAAAAAAGTAAAAAAGTAGTCAGTCAAAAACACAGAGGTGCCATATCTCGGCTACAGAGTTTCTGGCAAGGAGGAAGTTTGGTAAATAAATTCCCATTTTAAATAGATGCAAAATTGGTTTTGAGCTTTAAGAAATTCAACTTCATATCAGACAACTAGCTATACTGGTCATTTATGAATTTAAAAGCACCATTGTGCTAAGTGTGTCAAATGTGACTGCACAAAGTATGAGGTACCTGATTTTCAAATACTAACTATATAACGAGTCCACGATAATACTTTGATGCTGTCAAGAAAAACTTTTGTACTTTAGAATTCTGATCCTAAATGCACACCGTGAAGAGATATGGATTTATATTTATGTGTAGTTTAAAATCAAAGAAACAAAAACGTACACTTTCAACCGTTGGATCCACTCGGGCCCTTTTTTTCCGAGGTGGTTGAGGTGTCTCACTGGTACTACTACCTTCTCCAATTCCAGGAGCTAAAAGAAAAAAATAAAGAATGTAAAATGATTTTAACAAACATTTTGCTAATAAGATACTTACCACTTTAAAGAAAATATCAATTAACAGATTGTTTTCCATTTTCTTATCATTCAACCTTACATCCATTATCTAGAGGTTACTAAAAGTCAAGTTAAAGAACTGTAATGTATCTCCTCCACTCAACTAACACAAGCAAAATGTAAGGATCTTAGCATTTTGTATATGTATGTTTACCTTCCTGGGACTCATTAAATCTCCTTGACAAAGATCATTAACCCCATTTAACAGATATGAAATCCAAAAAATCAAGGCTATTGATTTATAATTAGGTCCCATTTTCTCTACTGACCATTTTCAGCAGCTTCAACAAGCACTTCTTAATCACTACACTAGATGAGAAGGAAGGCCCGTATTTCCCTATCCTTATATTTCAGGAAAGAGAATAAAAAAGCAGGAAAATGAATTAAAGAGACTACTACAACAGTGGTGGCTGCATATAATGAAGTAACATCCTAAATTTGTGGCAGTGGAACTAGAAAGCAAGGCATCAGTGGGATATGTTGGAGAATAACACTTTGACAACCGATTACAGACACAGGCAATGAGAAGAAAAAAGACAAAGATAATACTAAGGTTTCAAACATTTTGACTGGTTAAGTGGTTGAAAATTAGAAAATAAAACAGACTTTTGGCAGAAAGAAGTTACTCCATTTGGGACATGTGAAATTTATCATCTAGTTGGACATCCAGGTGTGAATAACCTCTAGTAAGCTTGAGATGCAAATCTGAAGCCCCAGAGAAAAGTTATGGCTAGAGATACTGACCTGGGAGCCATCTGCAGGGAAATCAAAGCTATAAGAGTTAATATTATCAAGGGAGAGCAAGCATACACACAAGAAAAGGAGGTGAAGGACAAACATTTGGGAACATCACCTTTAAGGACTTAGCCTCTCTCCCAATGAAAAGTCAAAAAGTGAAAGTGACAGAAAAGTTGTAGCTATGTTTTAGTTTCCAAACTTTCTTCCAAAGAAATATTTTTTATAATAAATTCATTAGCAAAATGCCTAGCAAGGTACTCATCATATGTATAACACACTAGAAAAATTAAGTGGTACAAGAGATGGAATTCAAGGCCTGGAGTCAGGAATACCGGAGTTCAAATCTAGCCTCAGACACTTCTATCTGGGTGCTCCTGGGCAAGTCAATTAACCTGGGTCTCAGTTTCCTTATTTGTAAAATGAGAATAGCAGCACCTACCTCAGGATTGTTGTGAGGACCAAATGGGACAAAGTGCTTAGCACAGTGCCTGACACATAATAGGTTTAATATAAATGCTAGCTATTGTTGTTGTTGTTATTGTTATTATTTATCATCATCATCATCATCATCATCATCATCCTAACCAGTGTTTCGGCTCACTTAAATCATCCGACTTGACCTCAAATGAGTACTTCCTAAACTTGGTTGTGTAATATTGGTGGGGAGGGAGAAAGGTAGAAGAGCAGATAGCAACTATTATTGAGGAGTATTGTCTCCAAAAAAGGCTGCTGAACAAATGTTAATAAACATATACAACAGCATACTTTTAAGGTGAAGTAAGGTCACACTGTGGCACAAATAAGGGAGTCATAAAACCAACAGATAAAAATCAACGCCCTACACGCTCTCAGTGTGCATTACTACGATTATGCTACAGGGCCCTAAAATACTTATCAAGTACCACAACCTAAAGAGCAACAAGCTCAGCGTATTAAACTTGAAAATACCCTAAGTATGTATTTCCTAAAAGTCCGTACAAAGCGAAGCAGTTCTACTTTGTTCCAAATATCTTCTACATATGGGATCTGCTCAATAAAACTTTTTGAACAGAAGGAGAATATTTGTAACCACATACCATGCATTTATTTTATAGAAACAGCTATATATTACATTGTGGAACAGATTAAGAGTTTTCAAATAAAGAGTTTCTCTACTAGTAATGAGCAATTACAAGTTTTTTATGTAAAAAATAGATTAATAGATACTTTTCCGAAGCAACATCAAAAAGAAAAAGGTCAAATTTTTAAAAATACCTATTCATTATGAAGTGTTTTATTTTTGTTAACACATCATATAATATGGAGGTGTATGCTCTTCCCCTAAAAACATGCACTGCTACTCTTTTTGTTTTTTTGAAGGCAAAGATAAAATGAAATTTTAACAAATTTTAACAAAGAAGATGGAACAAATACGTTCTCTGGCTCAAAACAGTTAAGTAGGAAATAAGCAAGGGAGAAGGCTGAACATAAAGCTGACCTAAATTTCACAGAAGGCATAAAGGATGGTCATGTCTCTGGCTTGTACTCTTTATAACTAACTTATATTCTTCACAATTGAAATGGGTTGGAAGAAGGACAAAAGCAAGACACTTTGCAACAAGGTCAAGGAAAGGAAACTAAGTAAGCCTTCTTGCTTAAACAATGATTAGCCAGGCAAATTAAGAAGTAGCACATAAAATTACAAGTTTCCAAGTCTTCTGCTAGTGGAGTTCTACAAACACCCTGTTCAAAACTTGGCACATTATACTGAAATGACCTTTATTAAAATGTTAAAAAGATACCTTTCAAACAAAAGTATTTCCTGTCATATAAAATGTGCCATATTTACAACGAACATTATTACTCTATTACAATAATTTAATGACAAATTCAATTGAAACAATGAATTTAAATTTTAGACCTCTAATAAAATGAAAATAGTCTTAAGGAAGAAAATTAACGTCCTTACTTTTCTGTTTGTTCTTTTTGGTTTTCCTAGAGGGTGGGGAGGAGAAAAGAGTGGAAGAGAAGAAACAAAAAGTTAATTTAAGTAAAATGTTATTTCCTAATTTTAAAAAAATGTCATTCCCTTCACTTTACTCAATCTTGCTGGTCAATTTGTGCAGCAATGACAGTATCTGCAAAGGACACAGGAGCATACAGATGCTCTCCTGTTCAGATCTAAAAAGCTACACAAACAACTAGATGAATTCACATCATCTCCCAAAGGATGAGGAAGAAGAAATCCAAAACCACTGGGGAGGCTGCCATGGGACACTGGTATCATCAAGGCTGCCATAAAAATACTTTGCTTTTCTTCCATGGGAGTCACTTTTTAACACAAATATTTCAAGATTCAATCATTAAAACCAGTTGTCTTATTTAAGTATATAATCTAAAACAAGAGGAAAACAACCATCACAATAATCTTTTTTATGGAAAATAGGCTGGCTTCATGCTGACATAAGTGATGCTTTAATGCTTCTACATATAACTTTATTCCTAATTCTAAATTAAAAGCTTTTAACATGTAAGTGGCAAAAATGAGATTTTAAATCATCTTTAATAGCAGCAGCATTGAAGGGTTTCGTTTTGGCCATTTCTCATTGCACTCCTCTGAGCCAAAGTTCCTTTGGTTTCAATGGCTCTGTAGGAGACACGTCCCTGAAGATCAACATCACGGTGCATAATTTTGCACAGCCCCAGTTAACATGCCACAAGTCCACGTTTTCCCCTTTCTGTGTTTAGAAACAATTTGTTTAACCTATAGTCTTCCATTTATACTACACCACAAGCTGAATGAGCACTTGATGAGTACTGGACTTGGAGTCTGACACCTACCAGCTGGGTAACATTTAACCCGAGTCTCAGTCTCCTCATCTGTAAAATGGAAATAATATGTAGCACACCTACCTCACAGGGCTGCTGTGAGGACTGAATGAGATTACATCTATAAAGCACTTGGTGATCCTTAAATCATTACATAAATGTTATTTATCATCAAACGGGAAAGACTATCTTGTCTATAGAACCCCCACGTGAATTACCTCTGGTACTAACCAAAACCTCCTCCAACGCTTCATCACAGCCAAGAAAGGACCCTGACTTCTCAAAGACTACATCAAGGATGTGGTTCCATCCACGCCAGAAAGCCTGAGAGCATACAGCTGTGTCACCAGAGCACGAGCATAAAAGCTATGTGCACAACGTCCATGCCAGAAAGCAGGATGTCTTCTGAAGGCCAATACCTACTAAGGGATAGCAAAACAGTGGGATCTGCCTATCCTGTTTTGTGGGTGATGGGGCACCCAAGGAGGGCATGTCAAAAAGAGTAAATCCTGGGTCCCTGAAGTACTGAAACATTAAAAAAAAAAGACCCATATATGAAAATATCCAAAAAGGTTAAATGGACTTAATTTCCATTGGTTTTCATCAAAATAGAAGGAAGGTAGAAGAGAAGTTCTTACTCTTTTTGTGTCATGGACCTCTCTAAACAGTCCACTTAAAGTCTATAGATCTCTTCTCAGCATTTTGTTTTAAGGCAATTGGGGATCAGTGACTTGCCCAGGGTCACACATCTATGAAGTGTCAAGTGTTTGGTCTGAGGCCAGATTTGAACTCAGGCCCTCCCGACTCCAGGGCCAGTGCTCTATCCACTGCGCCACCTAACTGCTCCACAGCATTTTTTTAAAAGTACAAAATAAAATACACAGGATGGCAAAGGAAACCAATTACAACAAAATAATTACAAAATATTTTTTTAAAAACAAGTTCCCAAACTGCAGGTTAAGAAATCTGACACAGAAAATGTTCAATTAACAAATGTTGACTGTGTTGAGAGAAAACATAACAGCAGTTTGATTAGCGTTACAATCCAAATTTACTTGTCCCAAGTGCCTATTTGTACAGTTTCAAAATTAACTGTTATTAAATAGGGTCTTAAAAGAATGAAGAATATTTTATTTTTTAGGTACTCAGCTTCTACAGTTGGAAGGAACTTCAAAAGTCATCCATATCAAGCTCATAGTAATTTCACCAAAGTGATTTGTGGAATGACCTATTTATAATGAATGTTCAGGTCTCATGACTAGCTAGACAATGGACTGGTTTTTTATTTTTGGTTTTTTTTACTACTACATGGAAGAGGTCTTTACAAACCAAATTTCAAATATAAAATTCTCTCATCCATAATCATAAACGTATATTTTTTTCACTTACATAACTAGCAGGCACACAGTGGAAAGAACACTAGATTTGGAATCCTAAGACTTGGGCTTGATTCCCAGTTCTGTCATGTGTTAGTTAGCAGGGCAAGTCACTTAACCTAAGCTTCCACTCCCTCTTCTGTAAAAGGAAGGGAATGCTGCTCATTCTCTCTAGCAGTCGTGTGGCTGGGACTGTGAGAAGTAAATAGATCAAAAATTAACTTCTTCAGTCTTTATTCCCCAAAGTCTATGAAAAGAAGGTGCAGTCTCATAAAGAAGCACTATTCCAGTGGAGACCAACCACCTCGTTCCCACTCATAAAGACCACAAAGGTATAGCTGAGAGATCCCCTGCTCATTCTAGAGATCAAGGGCCTCAAAATTATCTATAACTTTGCTTCATCCAGTCATTTACAAGCTCAGTCATACCAACCATGTACAAGTCAGTAACTATCTGGCATCTGCAACAGTGTCATTTACCTTCTTTATTCTGACAGCAAAGAGTGAATGCCAATTTCTGGGAATAGGCAAGAGATTCTACAAACCATTACTTTCATAATTACTCGATGTCTCTTTTGGTCACTGTTTCTATTTCAAATTCTCTATTACACTAAAGAAGTTATAGAGTGGGAATACAACAAATGTTAACCCAGATGGAGCCACACAACATGTTGTTGCTCGGACTAAGAGAGAAATGATTACTAGACAGTAAGCATTTAGGACACAATACAGATATTTTAGACAGGATAATAGATTCAGGAGTCTGGAGAGGCATGAGCACCAATCCCACCTCTGATACTGATAGTTACATGACCTTTGAGCCTCAATTTCCTCATCTGTAAACAATGCCTGTGGTCGCTATCTCATAAGGCTACTGCTGTGGTGAAGAACTAATGACATAGTAAATATAAAGTATTTTGTAAACCGTAAAACACTATCAGCTTTTCTTCTTACTAATGAGCAGCCAATTCAGACGTTTTATGAGAAAATTTAAAGAACTAGAAAACAGTGTGGCCTAGAGGAACCCTGGGTCCTAAGCCCAAGGTCTATTCAAATCACAAACTTGACATGACGTGGGTGGCCCTGGGTGGGCCTCTTAATCTCTTTAGCCCTCAGCTTCTTCATCTGTAAAACACAGGGACTACACCAGATGCCCAGTGCCCACAATACCCTTGGCTCTAAATCATCGTGCTCCAATTATATGCATCTCTATTCAGGATCAGCCAATGAGATACCATGTTTTGAAGCCCACAAAGAGGGAATCTAAACTCTTAACCACCTGTTGCAAATGTGAGCCTAACAATCCTATCAAATCATACTTGCTACAAGGACATTTCACCCTAATCAAACTTTATGAATTCAAAGGACTTGAAAATAAAGCGAATGTACTCTGAATTACTGATTATGGATCACTGGGGAAAAGGAGAGAAAAGTAGTTTTAAATTATTCAAATTTGAGATTCTTCTATATAATGTACATGATAAGCATGTAATCCTATTTCCTAACGGAAAAGAAAAATTTATTACTTAACTCCCCTTTGCTCTATGTTTTTCTCTTTCTATACAACCCTCTAAATATTTCAGGCATTAAAAGGCTACCAGTATAAGAAATAATATATGTTTCATTATGCTACCCAGAGAATCCATTCCACATCTTAGGCTTTTAGGAGATTTTAGGCCTCAATTCTTCCTCTAAAAAAAATCTACAGCAATGCTCTAATTTCAGCAAAACTGATATGTAAAGTACGAAAGATTTCCAAATATATGAAATTTCTATTCACCCCAATCATCAAACAAATTCCATAGTTGTTGCAAATTTACCATAGAGTTTTTACATAACATTTTCAAGTTGAAAAAGTATCCATGGCTTCTTTTTTCAAATTACCAAATGCTTAAGTAGGGATCCCAAAATTTAATTCAAGGTGTCCTAAACATGTACACATCTGAGCCTTCAGCCAGAACACCTGATTCCTGGTGTGTCCTCGGCATTCTTTCAGGTCCAAGTTTCAATGGCCCCTAGGGGAGACTCTTTTCCCCATTCCTATAACTGGGGCCTCTACCAGAGTAGAAAAGGAGGACTGGTACTACATGTGTCTCAAAGATTACAAGAAAGTACCAGGAATCATATATTCAAGCTACCATGAGTTCTTAGGTCAGACAATAACTCAAGAGATATAAGCACAGAAGCTATATCCTTTTGTCTCTATACCTACCTGTTTCATCCCTAATTATATCCCCTGACTTTAAAAATCTTTAAACATTACACTTTTCAAGACTCCCACCTACAGCACCATGGAAAAATCTTGTGATCCTGGGTAAGTAACAACCTCTCTGGGCCTCAGTTTCCTCAAATGTAAGATGAGAAGCTTGGACTAGAAGATCTCTAGTGTCCCTGCAAATTCTAAAACATTGTGATTGTTTAAAAAGAAAAAAGTTAATGATGACAGGTGAATGAACACAATGAAGAGAGAGTTAGTTGGAAAATGGGCTGTCACAAATACAAAGAACAGGAATAACTAGTAAAGTATGGAAGCTGTTGAGATAATCCAGTAGGATACCTGGGCCAAGATTTGGTGGGAAAGATAGGAAAACAGAATTCAGTAAACAAAGTTGGATAGGCCATTACTGAAAAGTGAACCAGAAAGAAAGGAAGGCGCCAAAAAAAAAAACAACCTACACAAACAAAAATTATGTAGTTCTCACAGCAGCCCAGGTATTGAAGATATAAATTATAAAAAAAAAACTAGATATTAGGCCCATGAATATACCACCTAAAGACATTTTAAAATGTTTTACAAAGCATTCATAAAATTAATGTAATAAATAAGACACTTATTAAGTGTCCCATGTCCCTTACAGTTTATGTAACTATTCATTTGGGGAATTAAAAACTCTATTATAAACACTTTACTGTACTGAACACAGTGAAAATATTTGAGTTTCTTATTTTTTAAAAACAAACAGCCTATAACTTAAAATCTTGCTATATTAGAGGGCAAACAAGCAACTTGTAAACCATTAAAGTAGTACATAAACATAAGTTATTGTGTAATAAACAAAAAAGAACCCAAGCCCAAGGTTCTCGAGCTTGTTTTAATACTGTGAACATGATGGCATCGGAAAATGCAAAATTCAAAAGAAAAGAAAGGCCTTCATTGCAAATGCATTACGGACTGGCTTTTTTGCTTCTCTAGTTCTAAATCCAGACCATGAATTTATTGACAGTAACTAACTTCACAAAAAGTTTCGGACATAAGTAACAGAATCCAGTCAATAATTTATTCAAATGATGGTATATGCCAATATTTTATGATGAACTTAATTCATCAAAGGAAGAACATTTATACTGATTCAAAATTGAACTTGACACAGAGTTCAACTATGAATCAAATTACTGACTTCAGTTTGATACTTCAAATAAAGACCAACTGTGAGCAAAAAAGAGAAATGCTACATGTATATCTTTTGACTACACATAACATTGGTCATTATGATTCAATTTCTAACTGAAACTAATTTATAAGTGCAATTTTAATGAGGCCTTTAGGCCACTGCTGCCACAACTTATTCTTAACAACTTTAATCTTTAATCTTTCGAGGAGCTACATAACAAAAATATGTACAAACAGCTGACAATTTTGTTTACTAATAATCACATTTATATCAAAAAAGAGATGCAAAAGTTTCCAAAAGTAATAAACTGAGCAAAAAATACTCAGTGAAACTCCAAGAGATTATTTCCTAAACTTAAAAATCTGAGTACTAATACACCCAACTGAACAAAGTTATCAATGATAAAATCCAAACAAAGCCTAAAAGATTTCTATTATGCATGATTAAGAACACTCTTATTAAACCTACAAAAGCAAGGGAACACGGATATCAGGATGAAAATCTGGTATGACAATCCATCCTTAACTCACCGCATTGATATTGCAGAGGTCTCCAAACAGCGAGTGATCCATCTGTTCTGAAAAAGTCTAGGCACAATGGGTTATGGTAAGGACAGAGTGTCAGACCTGATGTATAGTCTTCAAAGAAATGAACCTTACTTTCCAAAGTAAACCAAAGCTTTTCTTAAATGGAAGCTATTTCCATGTGACCTCCATGAAAGAACTTAGACGTATAAGGGTGTGTCTTCAAATTAACTTTTATGCAGTGAAACTTCATTATAATGCACTCCATCCTTATATTTCATAGCCTTAACTTGTTTCTAATAGTCTCAGCAAAGGGTTCCTAAAACAACATAATCCTTAAAGCATTTAGCCCGTGTGTAAGCTTCAGCAACTCAAACTCTTCCCCCAAAGTATTATAAGGAAGCTTCACTTTGTAGATTTTCTTAATAACGATCCTTATATTTTAGTGGCTGAGACTCCACCAAATATTTCATAGTCTAATATAAAAATACATATCATATAGTAGGCACTTACTATTCAATTTAATATTATATAATAATCCCAGGGACAAAATGCAGTATCTCTGAATTCCTAAGTCTTTATTTAGTAAAAAAAAGTTTTTCTTGAATATTTCGTTTACATTTCTATCCCAGGTTTAACATACAGTCCTTAAAGAACTTGATGTAAATCAAAACATTACTTTAATTTTACATTTCTACAGAATCAGAAGCTTACTGCATTTTTATATCTCATTCGCTACCACTCTTACTGCATGCTACTACAAAGACTAATTTCCCAAAGAACCAAATCACTAAAATGTTAACACATGCAACAAAGGAAACCTATTAAATACCAACTAAACAGTGGTTAAGAGTACCTAGTGACTTAAGACCACCAGTTAATACTCCTATTTTAAGAAAAACAAAAAATGCCACCACTTATTTTCTTACAAATAAAAGATAAACTTTTTTAAAAAGGTCAAAATACAAAACTAGTGTATATTATTTATAACTTCAAAATGAACCAACTTAAATGAAAACCTCTAACATGCATCAACTGCATTTTCAATTTTAATTCTGCAATACTTTTTTTTTAAGTTTTTAGGCAATTGGGGTTAAGTGACTTGCCCAGGGTCACACAGCTAGTAAGTGACAAGTGTTCGGTCTGAGGCCGGATTTGAACTCAGGTCCTCTGACTTCACGGGCCAGTGCTCTATCCACTGCGCCACCTAGCTGCCCCTTAATTCTACAATTCTAAGTAGAACTAGAATCAACAGGATGTGATGAACTATACCACTAATTTTTTTGATTTTAAAAAAAGTGCACTAGGGCAGGAAGATAGCTACATAAATAGAAAATACTGGCCTTATTAAATAAAACCGCCTTTTAAAATTCAACCCAAAAATGGCAAATACAAGAATTGTGCACATCTGAAAAACTGAGAATTGGAAGTTACATGAAAAACTTACGATGAATTTTGAAATGGCTTACAAGTATGAGTTGTGGATATTGATGGTTACTCTAGGTTTCTTCTACACAGAAGTCAAAAGAAATGGTTTGTAAACACTATATTCTAACATAAGAAAGAATGAAATTAATTCTATCACCTATTCCAAGAGGTAATGAATTTCTGTTCTGCGCTTAGTAACCCTCATTCATAAATAAGTACATTTACTGAAGAAAAGCTTCCTTCTTCCACCCTCTTATATGCACATGTACATGTACATGTAGATGGGAAATATGTTAATATCTATAATCTTTATCCTACTTAACTCTCTTTAATGAAACTGGAGTCACCATACTGATCCCTAGACTAGCCTTTTGCTTTCCCAAGGAAATTCCTTGCTTTTTTTCTGACCCTTCATCTCCAGCCAGCCACCTCACAAATTCATGCCACCAGTTACAAAGTGATTTAGGTAAAAGTGTGGGTGGCTCAGACACTGTCATTACTAAATAAGCATCTGAAAGCTCATCCTTCCAAGTGTTAGGGCAGTCGTGTCATTTTCATATGTGAAAGATAACTTATCACAGGCATCTATGTATACACACCCTACTAAAAAGGGGAAGAGAGAAAAAAATAGCCAAGAAAAAACTGATGGAAAAATAGCTTTGCATAAGCCATATTCAACAACTTTAATATATTAATTATGCACACTGGAATTTATTCTCACTGTTCCCAAACATGGAGTTTTATTTGTATAAAGCCAAACAATGATAAAAAGCTTACACAAAGAAGCTTAATGTGTATCTATAAAAGATGATATATAAAATGCCAATCTCTCACACCAAATAAAAGACAAAGCTTCTTACGCTTCAACATTTTTCTGCTGTAGACCAGATGTCTTCTTTCCTGGAGCTGCCCCTCTCATCTTCCCTTCTGCATACTGCTCCCTTCAAAAAATGAATTCAATAAAAAAAAATCTTAAAATTAAAGCATTCCAAAAGAAAGGATACTGGGCTGGTTTAACTACTTCTAAGATATCCATACCAATAACACTCAAGTGAGAGAAAGAAAAATTCAGCTGTCCTCTGTGGATTTCCAAAGGGAAGCTTCCTCAAAACTATTAAGGCTCAGGTACAACGTCAACATAAGGAGACGGGGTTCAGTGTTAGTATAAGGAGAAAGGGTATCTAACCTATAACTTAAAAGTCCATAAAAAGCCCCTAAGAAGAGAAAGGGAAGAAGCCTAAAAGCCATATTGAAAATAAATTTAAATGAAGACTAGAGAAGTTTCTGTCTCATTTACTTGGAAAACAATTCTATTTTATTCTCAAAACAAAGCCTTAAGACTACTCAGAGTAGTTTCCCTTCTAATACCATTTTATCATCTAAAACGTATTTCAATTCTAAGAGAAAAAAAACCTCAGATGGAAAAAATGAAACATCAAAATCACAAACTTGTATCAGACTTCCTTTAGAAAAAATTAAAGAGCAAAAAAAGCAAGGGGGGGAGCTAAGGGCTTGGGAGAATTATTCCACAGTCCTTTAGAATCTTCCAAGGACCTCCTGCTCCTGGAGGATAAAGAACACAGTGGTACATCACTAGGAAGCAAACTTGAGAACAGCACTGAATCATATATGACTCACCCCATCCTCCCCACCCCACACCTTTATGTGAAACTTTCAGGACTTAAATTTTATAACGTATAATCTCTCCAAGCCACTCAATAAAATGAGCTATAAAAATTCCACCTACAGTGGAGTTAATGCTTCTGTCTCCTCTGCTTCTAGACTGGCTCTGATGACAGAGATTCAAGCAGTAACAAGCACTGAAAGCCTGCAGGGGCACCTCCATTTCCTTAGCAGAGAGTAAAAGTCTTGCCTGTATAGTTTCAGTTACAATCCAATAGGTAACACGTACCCTACAACTACTCTACAGCGGAGTCAAATGTTCTTCCAGTCAAGCATCCAAAAACTAATTTACAGGGATTATGAGCCTTATATCTATTTTCCAAAATAAACTTACTGATTGGCTTTCTGAAGCTCTCTCTGTTTCTGAAGATTTGTGTCCACGTATTTGAGTACTCTGCTTTCTGGAACCCATTCATCCCAGCTGCGGGTAGAAAAAAGTTAAAAGATCAGTCAACACTTAGTATCACTACTTAGAATCTGTTCCCAATCATTATTTGAGAGACCCAAGCAGATAAACAAGATTGTTCTGAATTAAATTCGATGAACTGGTACTATGTGTCAGGGAGCAACTAAAAATATTCTCCCCAACTCGAGTTCTTTTTCCAGCAGAGTCCAAAAAGCTTTTCAGTCTCTCCCAAGCAACGTTATAATTCTAACACTTCTCAGCACAATTCTAAAAGCAGTTTTAAAACAATTATTTTGGAATTGGCATAAAGTGGTAGTTAATGTGTATAAATATATATATTTTTAAAACTGCACCTTTACAAGATTCACAGAAGCAATATTCAACACTATGCAAAGCATTACATTAATCCAAAAGTTTAAAATGCCATAACGAAGCACAAGAGTCTACAAACTGATTCTGTTAAAGATTAAAGTTGACTAGCTTTCTCTGATTATTAATAAATAGTTCAACATGTGGTCCTACAGATGTATTTCTAAAGCAATCTAGATATTATTCAGTCTGTTGTTTTCTTATGAATGACAGTCGTAAAACGTTTTCTGAACACTTTTCCCCCTCCAAAATGCTCAGGGGGTCAACTTAAATTATCTTTAGCATATACACTACAGCTAAAACTTACAGAGGATACCATTCCAATCATTAGTCTCCCTTATCACAGGTTACTGCAGGCAGGACAATTCCTTCACCTGCCTTGTTGCTGCTAAGGTATTTTATAATGCCATTCGGTCAAGTACACCAACCACCCCCAATTCTAAAAGCTCCTTCCAATCAAGAGTTTCTGGTATGATATTGCAAAGAAAAAAGAGCGGGAAAAAAAAGCCATCCCCAAATAAAAAAAAAATTAAGAAGAAAACCCTAGCGAAGGGATGCGGCCTTTTGGGGTGTCAAAGTTAGTAATAAGCCTTTTCTCCTGCTGATGGAGCTCCTTTAGTAACACAGTTCACTGTGTCCTCAAAGCAAAGAGGAAAAGTTTTGGTTGACTAACTCCCCACTTCTTTGACCTCCTATTTAAAATGAACAAAAAAAGAAAAAGAAAGGAAAAACCACACTTTCTATCTTAAAAAAAGAAAAAAAGAGGGAGGGCATCCCCATAATCCTCAATATGATTTCCTAGAGAAAACTTTAAAACATGCATTTACCTAGAGGTCAGGAAGGGGTGGTGTACTGAGGGAGCTCCTTCAGGAACAGGAAAAATGGCTACAATATCCTCACGTGTCTTCAAAGTTTTTTCAGAGCGCCTGGGCCTCACAGCACTTCTGATGTAGACAGCATAGTACAAAGTAATCTCAGTAACTACGTGCAGAATTTAGCTTAAGCTTTATTTAGATTTATTTACAAATGGAGTATTTAAATGGCTGTATCAATCATTTCTAATAGGTTCTGAAGACTTTAGATTAGAACAAGTATCTTAGCATAAAGGATTGGCAGAACTATTGAACTTCTTTTAAAAATTACACATTAATTTGTTTAAAAGGAATTTCAAATTTTGGCTTGGGGTTTTGTTCTGTTTCTTCTTAAAGGAAACATTGTATCCCCATTTTGATGAATTAGTTCAAAACAAGTTCAAAACAAGTTATGAATCAAGATATGACTAATTATTTTCCATGAGCCTTCCAACTACTAATAACTTCCCCATTAGCCCTTCTCAAAATTGCATTAAAATATATGAGACAATACTACTAGGATTAATAGTCTGATTCTCTTTTAGATAATTTAACAGAGGCTTGCCTCCTTATAGCCTGCCAATATGTGAACACGCAGTTTTGACATCAAGAAGCTTTAAAAAAAATTTAAGCCACTCTGTTGTCCCTCCCCCAAAGGATTTTTAAAGCCTTTTACAAAGTATTCATCTTGGCCAACATTTCTATATAATTATCAATTTATAATGAGTAGTTAATACTTCAATTTATGCAGGAAGTATAAATGGCTAACACTTTCTAACCTAAAATTTTATCAAGTTAATTTAGCAGCTTAAATACATAAATGTCACACTGTCCCTCTGATAATTTTATTTTTTTAATAAACACCTTTTCTATTTTCAAACTTCAACTAAAAATAAAGTCACTGCTATACTTCCCTTTATTTATTTTGGGCTAAATAATTTTACTGAACTACTAGGAAATATGCATTCAAAAGTCAAATATCCTTTGTTCTGACATCACTACTAATAGACAGCTTAGTGGATGATTAAAACATGAAAACTTAATAATAAAAATAGTATAATATTCTATTATATATTATATATAATATTGTTATATATGTTATAGATAATATTTTAATAATAAAAATATGAAAATTTAAGATTACACATATTGCCTATGATACAATTGTCAAGTTGCCAATCTATTGATTAAAGTCTCATTTTCTAAAGTGTCAAATAGCTGACAAATGATTAATAAATAATAAATAAAACCCAAAAGCTATCCAGTCTACCTACAGACTGAAATACAATATTCAGGACACTACTGCCAGGCTAGAACTTTTCAAATCAGTTTTAATTTAGAAATCTCCAGTATGACTACTGGGAGGCAAATCTAGGACCAATTTTCTGAAGTTACATATACTCCTATTTCTTTCCTAAGTCACCGACAGAAAATGGAAATTTTTTTTTCAGATGCATTTTACTTTCTGTCGATGTACATAAAGAGTTTAGGGATAAGTAAAAATTATCTTTAACATCTAATTTTTTTTAAGGAAAGGTTATACAAGGCTGAATTTGTTAAAAGAAAAAAGTAATTAAAATTGGCTCTAGCTTGCAATTTGCTCAGAATGCTAGAATATTAACTCCAAACCTGAACACTCCTTATATGGACTAATTGGGTTTGGGGGCTACCAAAATGTAGAACAAAAGCAGCTACTCTTTGCTTTCCTAACTTTAGATAAAACTACAAGCCCAATAAAAATAAACCCAGAATTAAGCATGTCTACATGAAAGTATGTATTAAAAAGAAGATCTCAGTTGGCCACATCTGCTGCCCTAACTTTTTTGTAGGTAGTTTGGACTCCCGTATCTCACTATGCAACCTTTCCTAAGGATTCTACAAGACCCAGACATGACCTCACTACCCCGTCTCCGATCCCCTAAATGTGGCTTTGGGTTGCACAACACTTATAAGACTGTATTTTATGTATCTATCAAGTGCAAGATTCTCACAAACAAGAGTACAGAGCTTCCTGGATGATGAATCAGAGCCAAAAAGAGAGTTTAGTGCTGACAATCTTCACAAATACATGTGATTGCCACAGTCTCCAAGTTTATGCCAGGGAGCCAAAAATCTGTAAACCTTTTCTTATGTTCACACCTCTAAGGAGGCAGAAAGTCTAACTACTTAACCAATGAATTTATTACTCCTTCTTCCCTGGTTTCTTTCACGCATTTTAAGCACAGAGTAATGCTGTTTCCTTGACTATCTGAATGCCGATGGGCTGTCACTAGAAGACTAGAAGTCTGAAAAGAGAGCAACGTCTACACATCAACAGTTAATTTTCAAATAAGGAGAAGATGACAATCTACTAGAAAACCACGTACTGTGTGAGACAACATACCAAGATTTACAGGATAAACAATTAACAAATGGATTCTGCCAGGTAATGGAACAAATGGAGTATATATTTTACTGACACAGAAACCTTATTTCTAACAGGCCAAAAAACTGGAGCTCCTAGTTATTTCCCAAATTATTAAATATGAAAGCTTAGTGTTGCTGGCTGGACTTTCTTTTCAATCTATTAAATTATTACAATTATTACAAACTGCTATTTGGCAACAATTACATTACATACAAATCAGCTTCAAGACCATGCTAATGGAGGGAGGTTCCACCCCAGAATTCACCATACTGATGAAATTAAAGGTGTATGCAAAAATAGAAAATAAAAAACAACAACAAAACTACATATTTTAACACCAATTAAAACACTAATCAAAGAAATAAGTAGGCATTTAATTAGCTCCTTAGACATCACAAATAGTACCCTGCAGCTACTACAAAAACATATACAATAATGCTATTGTCTGTCAGAATGATGAAAATAATACTTTGGGACTGGCTTCATAGAGACAAGAACAAAAAGTTAGCCTAATCAATGTTATGTGAATATAAACTAACACGCTTTCAAAAACCTAGTACTTAAGTTCAAAGAAAAAGCAGCAATATGATCCTGAAAGGTGCTAGATCTTAACCCCTAAAAGAAGTAAGTGAGGTAACTGCTGATGGGAAAATCATTTTGGGAAGCAGACATGTGGGTGGAAACCAACAGAGATTACAAAGCACAATGCTAGAATTTAAGTGGCAATGTAACAGGCTCCCTGTTCACACCTATGAGACTTTTTTCAGACTACAGGTAATAATCACACATCCTTAACACTAAAATACCCTTTTCTCTTTCTATGACATTAACAGAAGTTACTATGTCTAATATATAACACGTACCTTCGGGAGCTCCAAAAAATTTGCTAACAGAATGGAAGATTTAAAAGTGAGATTGCTTGCCAAATTATCACTATGCTAACGAAATAGTTCCACCACCTCTCCAGAATCAAACCTGTTTGGCCCAGATGACACCAAAGGATAAAGAAACATAAAATCAAAGGCGGAAAAGTGAAATACTTTGTGCCTAGGAAACATTGCCACACCAATCGCCAGCCAGTCTGTGCCCCACTTTTCAGCGCCTTCCTACTTACCACGTGCATCTAACAAGGCCAAGCTTCTACATCAAGAATCTCACAGGCCAGGCAGATTCATAAGGAAACAAACAACTGTTTGCATGAGTGCACACCAGAACCCAGACAGACAGACCGACAGAGAGACTACAAAAGATGATGCTGGTCCCAAGAAACAACAAGTAATAGTATGCTGAAAAGCCTGATGAGAGCTACCAACACTACAGAAAACTCAAAACAAATGCCTTACTGAAGGGGGATTCTCTTTGCAGCTGAAGGACAAAACCCTGCTGGTTAAATTAAAGTTAATCAATCTTATAGCATGTGAAAAAAGAAATTACAGGTGCTCCATCATCCTGGAGAACTAAAAATAACATCTGGATCTTCCTGGAAACTGGTGAGCAAATTCCAAAATTACTGAGGTCTTTGACTCAGAGATCCATGGGCACATGTATTCATCATGACCCAAAGCCCACAGCAGACCAATTCTCAAGATGAGAAATAGCCCTGGGTGACTAAGATTCTACACCTGATCTAAAAATGCCTTGTACAAAAAGGTGCCAAATTTGAAATCACGTTCTGAAAACGTGTGATAGTAGCATTATGAATTTGGGCTTATTTAATCCTTTTTTAATGTTTTGGTCACCCCATGAGAAATAATCACCTCTTTATAACAATACACATCTGTTGGCTTTAAAAAAAAAAACTTGCATTAAGGTTTCAAGGTACAGAAAATGAATGACATATTGACAAATTGTATCTGAAGACAGCATATGTCTACACTATATATAATGTATGCCTATACAGAGAGAGATGAAGGGCTGAAATAAAAGCTGGTTTTTCTATTTCAGCTGCCTCTTCAATACAGGGTCACTATCCCAATGTGGCACAGGACTTTCAGTTGTCTGAAAAAGGCCACTTACAGCATATTCCTGGCATAAACTAGAAATGCTCTTCTGGAGCCACTGAGAGTTCTGATTCACTGCGGAGTAGCTGTATACTAACAGGCCAAAAAGCTGAAACTAGAGCTTACGTTTCCAAGTCAACTGAGAAGCCTTCTGCACAAGGAGAAGACAGTTATCTTGTTATGAGCCCAACTTTCCTATTCATTCTATTCACATACAATGTACCTCTGATAATACTAAAATCTGACATAGAACAAAATAGGCTGGGATCACTGTTACTAAATCATATCATGAAATTACTCTGTGCACAGACAGACAAACACACTTATTCTCAAATCAAGCAATTCTTTCTTAATAAGTAAACTGTTGCCAATCAAGGATCTAGGTTCTTAGTTCAGTGAACATTTAACTCATGCTCCAAAGAATTAAGTATATTCTAAATAAATGAAATGGCTAAAAAGGACCTTATGTGCTTTCTCTTAATTTCTTTCGTCACATTACCATAGCTTAAAATCACTTGTGAAAACATCAAGTTTCTAGAAGCTCAAGCTTGTGCCAGTTCATGACCCAAACTCTTTTGTGACTTTACTCTGGTTTAAAGGGTAGGTAAAAAAAAAAAAAGGCTTGTGTGCAGAGCTCCAATACTCACTTTTTATTCCAACCACTGTAATGTATAAAGTATTTCACTTGCTTGTCCTTTATGGCAACCTTTACACACTGAAACAAAGAAGAAAACAATTGACTCAGATATATCACTTTTTAGAAGTCTCCAAATTCTTTAAGTCTTCAGCATCTTTACAAGAAAGACTGCTAATTAAGAGTTAAGTCTATAAGCTAATTTAGTCAGCCTAAAGATTTTAAAGGATGGCTGACAACAAAATCTAGTCAAATTTAAGTGGAGTAGAGAGAAATCAGTTTTACTTAAAATAATGTAATAAAGAAAAAGATTTTTAGAATTAACTAAAAAAAGTCATATGCTAACTTCTTAAAACACCACATTCATTTTTAAATGACATAAACATATAATTTAAAAGAAAACATTCTGTCAAAACAGAAGCAAAAATTAGAATTACTAGGAAAAAGACCTATCCAAAAAAAGGCTAGCTTTTAAATAACTAGTTACACACCCAAAAGAAGTTATCACTGCAGGAATATCAAGAGTTAACAGAGGTCAACAATATCAACAATATTTTAAAAATTAAGATTACCATACCGTTGGGTTCTCAGGGAACAAATTCGGGTGTTTGGAAACCAGGAATGGTTCATTTACATAAAAAGCCAACAAAAACTAAGTGGTCAGAGGGAAACACGGAGGGGAAAGGGCAGCAGAGACATCAACACACAAAATTTATACTGACATTTCTTTTCCCCTTAGAACCAAGAAAAGAGGCATAAGTAAATATTTTCAAAACATTTAATATAGAATGAGCAAATGTCTCTCTTCTCAGTAAAGATTACAAACCTTCAAATCTATAAATTCACAAAATTACTCGCCAGATACGGTTGAAGTTTTTCCCCCTGCTTTTATCGGTCTATTTGGAGGAGGCGAGGGACTTTCACTATCCATGGCTCTCTTGAGAACAAGGTTCATCTGCAGTTTACATTGTTTAGGATACCTTTGCCAGCAATATATGCTACTAACTCAAACTGATATACAGAGTGTTCTCAGTCTTAAGTTTCAAGCTACTGAAGCTTCAAAAGCTTCACTAAGACTTTGGAGACACCCTGGACTATTTCCTAGTTTAAAATGCTTTAAAGTTGTTTTTAAAAAGGCTACTGGTTATTTCTAACTGACTATAGGCAGCAATCAAATTATGAGTTTTGCAAAAACTGGTGGCAACTTTTATTTACAATTTCACTAACTGTGGTAGATTCTTAAAAATACATCTTTAATCTTGGTAGTCCTATTGAAGAAACAAGTTCTCATCTTGAGATGCTTCTATTTGACAATGTTTCAGTCACATTCAGGTGAAGAAGTTCTTCAAATAAAGACAGGTCCTGCTGTTCAAATAATAATTAAAAGACATTTCAATTAAAGTACTATAGTTAAAATTTTTAGCTTTTTGCTGCCATAGTTAAAAATTTGACAACTTACTATTAAGCTGACAAAATAACATTAAAGGAATCAACAGATGCACCATGTATTTATTTTTATCGATCTCATTAAGATCCATATTTATATCTACAACATATACAAAAAACACAACTTAGAATACCTGAAGCTTCTGATATTTTGAATGCAACAATTTCAGAATTCAAAGGGTGCATACATGCGTACACTTATATCAGGTATCAGCAGTAAGCGTGGATGTTTCCATGGGAAACTTCTGAAAATTAGTCTCATTACTTACGCCATTCTATTTATGTGACAACTTACAGAACATAGAGAAGTTATTTTTATACACATAGTAACAAATGAATTAACATGGTACATAGTATCTGTAGGCAAACACTGTATCAACCCACACATCTTTAAAAGGCAAAATCACAATACACTTGCTAAAAATCAAGGCCACCTTGAACACCGGTACTAATCAAGGGAATCGGTAGCATAAAACCCAACATTCCTTTCTACCTTGTTTTTTAGAGGCGGTGGTGCTAGGAAAGAGAAATAAAGGGCATCCCTCTCCTTCCTAATGTTGTTCCCTTTCCCTACAAAAATACTTTAAATACTTAAATATGATTTTTTAAACTTTATTTACTCTGCAAGGCCTTGTAACTGCCTATTCTCATACTTCCTTGAACTGGGCTCCACCACCTCTCCATTTCCACTCTACTTCAGTCAGTGAGGAAGGAAGTTATACCTTAAGATCTCACCACTGGGACAGCTAGGTGGTGCAGTGGATAGAGCACTGGCCCTGAAATCAGGAGGACCTCAGTTCAAATCTGGCCTCAGACACATAACACTCACTAGCTGTGTGACCCTGGACAAGTCACTTAAGCCCAATTGCCTTAAAAAAAAAAAAGATCTCACCGCTGCTGGCATCTGGTACACCTTCAAGGTCCTAAACTCTGAAATGCTCCTCCTAACAAGAAGCTCACCTTCCTCTCTCCTCCCTCTGGCCCCTTCATTTAGCCCTATCTGTTCTTCAGCATCACTGTTCTATTCTTTCAGATTATCTCAGACTTACCTTACTCAATTAATACTTCACAGATACAACCTTCCAAACAAGCCAGATATGCTCACTTTGACCCTGTCCTAATCCAAGCCTCTCTATTCTCCTGCCTTCATTCTGTACCGTTCCCCATACCTAGAACATGCTCCTCCCTCTCTGCCCTCCCCTATCTCCCTCATCTCTGCCTTTTGAAATCCCCTATAACTCCATGCAGTCTTCCTGGACTCCTGACCCAAAACAAGGCTAATAAGCTGTGTTCTCTCATTCGTTCTCGTCTCTCTCTCTCTCTCTCTCTCTCTCTCTCTCTCTCTCTCTCTCTCTCTCTCTCTCTCTCTCTCTCTCTCTCTCTCCCCCCCCCGCCTTCCTCAATTTAGCACTCTCCCTTTCATTAGTTATTTATGAACATAATCTTCCCTCTTCCTACTATACACTCATTGAGAAAAGGGTATATATCTCTTTAGGACGTAGCACAGTGCCTCATATATAGCAGGCATGTAATCCATGATTTATGTTGGTAAACAATAAAGCTTAAAGACGATAACCAAGGACACCATCTCCTTAGAAAATAAGCGCATCTGCAAAACACCAGGAAAGATCACCAATGATTTGCTAAAATTCACCCCACTACACTGCAAAAGGCAATGGTAAGGAAAGTGAGGGTGCAGAAAGCTTAACATGACGCCCAACTAAACCATATGATCTCAGACACACTGGGAATGGGAAGCACTGAGTGAAGTGGGGCAGGTCCCTCAAGTGTCTTCACATGACTTCTCACTATAAATGACAGCAGAAATAGCACATTTAGATTCCAGGACCTGAAGATGCTATAGGAAGGAGAAGTTGGAGCCTAAAAAAATGACATTTTAAAGACCAGACCAAATACAGAAGAAATACTTGAAGGAGGCAAAACAACTTCAAATTAGCTAGAGAAGAATGAAAAAAGGAAACAGGGGAGGATCCCAAAGAATGGCTAACATTATTACACCAAAAAAAAAAAAACCAAGCAGGAAGGCATAAGCAACCCCAGCCTTTGCTCATCTTTATAATCTTTATAAGAACAGCCTATACACGTAATCAAGGATGTCCTTGATGAAAACATAAGAACCTTCTGCAGATGAGTATAGCACATCATACAGCCATGGGGTGGGAAGACCACAAGGATCTCTCCCTATCTGCATGTGACCAACTTGGACAGTGCAAAAAGGTCTTAAAAGCTTCCCACCAATAAGGTCTCCACCACAAATGCAATATCACATTTAGATTCTTTGAAAGTGTGTATTCATAGACCTTTGTTAAAAAACCCAGAGCATAAACATAAAATAGGAAGCAGTACCAAAAACTATCGTGGAACGTGGCCTTATGGGTGGTGAGCCCTCAGTCCGTTGATGATCCTGTGCCAGATGGCCCACTAAGAGAACCTCATGAAATCCAGAGCCATTCAAAAAAGATTGGCCGAAGCAATCTATACAGGAAAAACCAAATGGATGCAAAATACTCATTGCCCATATGATGACATAGTGTTAGCAGTCATCAAGTTAACTAAATAGGTACACATACTGTAAACAGGCACTGCAGATGGACGACAATCCAGGACCCAGAGGTGAACAGGGGAAAAGGAGACAGATCGATTTCATTCAGGAAAATGCATAGCACTTCCAATAAGCCCCAACTATGCTAATGTACAAAAGACCAACCTAGCCACACTAATATTCTTCTGGCAATGTTACTCACGTGAAAATAACAGAACAGTACAATCCCAGAAGAACCATAACTGCAGGTGACCCAAAAGGCAATGAAGAAAGAACCTGGTGGGTATAACTGGGCTATAATACCACAGATAATGATCTGCAAACGCGAAGTGGTTCAAAAGATAATATCAAGGATAGGTGACTCGAAAGGAAGACAGTTCAGTCATGTTTCAAGAATAAGTCACACTATACGGACAGTCCAAGGGCAGCAGTGTTTTCCATGAGATATTAAAATATCAAGGGAAGACTTCAAATCAGGTCTACTTTCCTCTTTTGGTAGGTCCTCCAGAGAAGCTACATGGAAGCACGTGGACAAAATTCACACAGGATGAAAAGTCATGAATGGCTTGCAATCTGCACTGTTGAAGGGAATAAACAGATGAGATTCACTCAAGTTTACTAGTAAAATTAGTTTGTTTCCACTGAGCATAAAGTGTCATTTGCAAGATAGAGGAAAAACAAATCTGAAATTGGAACTTAGGCAAAGATAGTTCACAGAATGGGTAATTCTACACACATGAAACTGAAAGTCAAATACACTGCTTTAACTAATTTTTCAATGTCAGGCTTAACATTTAACCTGGTATAATGAAATGCTTATCTGACATCTGTTTGCATAATAACATGACCTTATATAGCTAATATCTAAACCCAGACTTATAACTTGAAAAATAAAGCATAAAAGATGGCAGCTTTCCCTCAATAGACAGCGCATGTGTTTTTTCTACATATTAAAAACCAACTCCTTGCTGCCTCTTCCTTACAACTCCTGCAGTTCCTCCTTCAGCAGCCTGGCAGGGACAATGTTTAATGAGTACTAGAAGGAAAGAAGTTAAGCAGATGTATGGAAACAGGGGGGAAAAAAGGATAAAAAAGTAAGTATCCTACCAAAGCAAGAGATAAAGAGAGAATGCTGAAGAAAAACTGTATCTAAGAAAAACCAATTAGAAGTAGCTCTCAGGAACCTGGTAAAAGAAAAAGAGGTTTCCTACCTTTGCTTCATAAAGGAGCGGTCCATGAAAACACAGCACGCGTTCACCTGTAAAATATTTCAAATTATTCAATTAATCCATAATTGTATAGGTTCAAGATAATCGATAATGAAATAAAGTAACTACCCATGCCTCATACTATACAACCAGTAAAATCATAAAGCTAAGTGGAGCTAAGGAGAACTTCAACATTTCAGGTCAAATTTCAAACATATATACAAATGAGCAGGTTTCTGTTACATGAACCTGAGACAAACACAGGCAGTCAATGAAATTTTTTAAAAAAAGGTAGAGTTTATATACCTGAAATTGTTAGTTTGTTACATGAGCAGAAACTATGTCTTTCCCATGACCTTTACCTGAATGTGAGGCAATATAATCTATATACTGAAACTTCAACATCTTTCTTCTAAGGGCCCTTCAACTCAAAATTCCATTTTTTGCCTTTTTTTCCCCCCGCATGCCGTGCATTTTGAGGGTACCCCATTCCATATGAATCCACATGACACAATTTTAAAAGCTAAACAGTTATACAAATGACTAGATGAAACCTGCAAGCCTAAAATCAGTTGGAAATTAGAGGTGAATCCTAAATTTCCAGCCCTGGTCTGTACATTCTTGATTTAGTTCTTGTCCCTAAATTCCCTGCAGATCAAAAAAAGAGAGAAGAATCCCTGAAGGTAATTCAGGCTTAGAGGTAAGTATAACTCTATTGTTTCTAAGTTATTTAGTACAATTAGGCTCATCAATAGGGTCAACATAGTCTTTAATGAAATCAAAAAGAATACCAATAAGCCCACTCCACCAGGCTCCAAAGTTGTTACAGGTTAAAAAGAGTTCAAGTGATTCAAATAGGTGATCTATTTCTGAATCAAAAAGTGGTTTAAAATACAATTGTTTTCTCCAATTTTTCTGGTAGCTTCTGCTTTGAAAACAGGATGTCAAAAGTCAATCTCCCCTTTTCACAAAGGAGCAATAGTTAAATGAGCATACACAAATTGGACCATTGTCCCTTGTGTAAAAATAATGGTACTTTAAAAATGAAGTACTGAGACATCACAAAAAAAAGTTTACTTATTAGTCTTAACACATACATATGTCACTAACCTGATCTTTTAGAACAGAGATTCTTAAACTGGGATTCAAGGAGCCCAGCTCCAGAACTGTATGAATAGATTTCAGGTGGTCCATAAACTTGGATGGAAAAAAAAATTACATCTTCTTTTCCCCTCACTAAACCTTGGTTTTCTTTCTAATCCTATGTATTTCATTTTACACATTCAAAAAACATTATTCTGAGAAGGGGTCCACAATCTTCACCAGACTGCCAAAAGGATCCATGACTCAAAAAAGGTGAATAATCCACGTTTTAAAGCAAAATGTTCATTTAAATACACAGTAGCATGGGAATGGTTTCATTATAGCACTGTTGTTGTTCAGTCATTTTAGTCATGTCTAACTCTTTGTGACCTCTTTCGGGATTTTCTTGGCAAAGATACTGGAGTGGTTTGCCACTTTCTTCTCTAGCTCATTTTACAGATGAGGAAACTGAGGCAAACAGGGTGAAGTGAGTTGTCAAGGTCACACAGCTATTGAGTGTCTCAGGTTGAATTTGAACTCCAGTATTCCTGACTCCAAACAAGGCCTGACACTCTTACCTGGCTGCCCTTACAGCATTAACTGCTTATAAGGTATTGTTCTCAACTCTGCAATGTTCTTCACTTCAATGAAGCACAAAGTATCAGAGACCATTTAGTAAAAACTATTTAAGTCCAAGAACACTGAATTTCCACAAAGTAGAAGCCAGATTGATAGATTCAGTGTGAGAAGAGAACAAACATGAGGGTTAACTCATCCAGTCCCCTAATTTTACAAGAGGACACTAGGACCCAGAGAAATCAACCAATTTGTGAAAGATCACACAGATTGTAAGTGGTCAATTAAGGATTGAAACCCCACCCTTATATTCATTAGGGGCTAGCAAATCTTGTCTCAGGCGAGACTGTTCTGCTAAGCCTTTCTTACTATCCTTATACTTAGAATGTCGCCCTCACTTACATTTATCTTTTGCACTATCTGAGAATGGATGGAATAAATGATGGATGGAATTCTCTTTCAAGCATATAATTTGATGGCTTTATATTGTATTTAGAAAATTTTCTTACGTTTTGAATACCATGTGCTTGCCCTTTGTTTCATGTACTTCCTGAGTCAGTCCGAAGTGCATGGTACCAAAGACAGGATCCTAACTTTTTTTTAAAAGAAAGGCACTTTGAGGTAAAATAATATGATGATCTTTTATATTATTACTAGTTCTAGGGAAGATACAAACTCTTTTTATTTTACTTTGAAGAATTATGAAAATTTAGGACTCCCTAGCTTTACCAAATTGATTTTTGTTAGTCATATATTATCCATGCACTGTTGTGGCTTAAGATGACAAATTCCATCTTGATATTAACAGATCTTACTTTCCCCTCAAGATATTCTTGTAAACTATCTCATTGTAAACTAATTAATCATACTTTCTGAAAAAAATTTGCCCTGAGATTCACTTTTGACAGGAGCTTGTGATTACACATGACAAATCTAAACCATTCTGCCTGGCTTTCAAAACTTTCTGCAGTCTGGTCCTGATGCCTGTTCAAATACTGATGTAATGATAGTACATAAATCCTATAATTCAATTCAAAATATTTAATTCAATTTAATATGCATTCAATTCAAATACCTACATTCTACAATTCAACTCAAAAATGCTGAGTTGACTGGAAATATTTGCATGAACTGATGCTGAGTGAAGTGAGCAGAACCAGGAGAACATTGTACACAGTAACAGCAACATTGTGCAATGACCAGCTTTGATAAACTTAGATCTTCTCAGCATTGCAATGACCTAAGACAATTCCAAAAGACTCATGATGGAAAATGCTATCCACATCCAGAGAAAGAACTATGGAGTCTGAAAGCAGATCGAAGCATACTACTCTCTCTTTTTTGTTTTTTTCTTTCTCATGGTTTTTCCCTTTTGTTCTGATTCTTCTTTCATAATATGACTAATGTGGAAATATGTTTAATATGATTGCACATGTACAGCCTACATCGATTGCATGCCATCTAAGGGAGGGGAGAAGGGAGGAGAGGAGAGAGAAAGAGGAAATTTTAGAACTCAAAATCCTATAAAAGTGAATGCTGAAAACTAAAACCAGATAAATTTTAAGAAGAAAAAGAAATGTTGAGTTGAATCCAAAATCCTTAATATGTAAAATCCAGTATCACACTAAGACTTACTCAACACACTGCCCACACCTCCCACCACCTACACTCTAAACAGGCTAGTATTGTCATCACACAAAGCAAAAGCTGTCTGAAGCAATGAAGAGTTTGAATACTGAATCCTTCATTTATTAGCTGTGTGGCCATAGGCCAGTCACTTCCCCTCTCCAGGTGTGTGATTTCCCTGACGTGTAAGGGTACACGAATGATCCGTGAGTCCTTTATAACTTACCAAGCAGGGGGTATCCACCGGAGAAGTCAAGTGACTTTACCTATGAACACACAGTAGCACCCCTGGACAAGAACCCAGGCCTTCTGCCAGCAAGGCCACCCTCTAGGCCTGTAGTCTAAAAGAACAGACATACTAATCAGGAGGAACTAGAGATCCAAATACAAAGAATGAAACTATGAATCTTTCAAGAAGCTTCAGTTCTAATGAATGAAATACAATAGTGAAAGGATCTCTCTCACAAAGACAGCACAGGGCAGCAAGCCGAGCTGGCCTTGGAAGCAGAAAGAACTAGACTCCGGTGAAGTCCTGCCTCTAACACATACTAGCTGGTTGCTCTGAGAAAGTCACTTAACCTCTCGGTGTTCTAGGCAACACCCTAAAAATAGAAGTTGCAGAAACAACACTGACCTACAAATGGTAGTGGGAGTTTCCTTTCTTATCCTTTCGATCCCAGTACCAATTAAATTCTAGGTCCACTCCCCATCCCTACAGAGTGGCTGTAAGGAAGAAAACGGCAAGGATAACTTTAAAGAATATGTAAATGTCAGCTGTTACTTAACCCACTTAATGCCTATAGTCATTCCCTCATCCTCCACAGAACCACCCTTCCCTGACCACTCCTAGCCTCACTCCAACATCATAATACACATCTGGCATCACATACGCTGCACATACCACTCAAGCTAAGTGTTAGTCTCCTTTCCCCAACTAGCTTAAAGACCTGGCTTACCCTTCTTTTACTGCCTGCCCACACATCAAAGGCACTGGAGCTGAAAGCTAGTAGATCCCCTCCTAAATGTTTGCTGAGAAAGGAAAAGTTCCTTAAGATAACACATAAAATGTAATTCTGCTGTGGAAGCAAGGTTGTCTAGGATCCAGCACTACACCTCACTGAATAATATACGTCACGGGTGGTGACATAAAAAATAACACACGTGCAATAGTCTAATAAATTTTCAAAAAGAAGTATACAACAAAAGGGTAAAATTATGAGCTGAACTTGACAGTTTACATTTTAGAGAACAAACACATTTCCAAGGTTTTATAGTAAAAAGTGAAAATTCAACACTGTGATCTCAAACAAAGCGAAGCGAAATTTTTAAAGGGAGGTAAGATTAACGTCTCTCTCGGCCTCTTTCTTCCCCCCAGCACCCTGAAGCCAACGCAAAAGCCTGGTTTTTAAAATGCTGCATCAGCCCTAACAAGCCCTGGTCCGCCATCAGGCTCAAGGTGTGTCTCGGGCAGCCATGTTACAAAGCAGCACCAGCAGCCCAAGCGCCTGGGAAGAAAAGCCCAGGCACCTTTCAGAAGCGCTCTCCTTCTACGGACCCGGAGGTGAAGCCTGCTGAAGCCCAAGCTGACCTCTCAGGACCTGCTCAAAGCATCAGAGTCCCTCGGCCTTGGCCGCCCCCCGCCCCCAATTGTTCAGTGTTTCCCCGTCTCCGCCAGGCTCCACTCCTCCACTCTCCCCCTTCTCTCCTGCAAAAACCCTCCCCGATTCCGCCCTCTTCCTCGCTCATTTTCCCTACTTGGAAGGTCCCCAGGACCGAGAGAGGAGAGGGAAGGGGGAGGGGCATGCTGGCTTGGTCGGAGACCCTCCCTTCACCTACCTGGGAGGCCTTGGGAAAATCATGTTCCATTTCTGGACCTCAGTTTCCTCATCTGTCAAATGTGGGGGCGGCCTGGGAAACCCCTCAGGGCCCCTCCGAACCCTGAAAATCACCATTCTGCGCCCACCACAATATCTCGGTGGGACAGGAGGACGTGGGTGGGGCAGGGGACGAGGAGCTCGCCGCTCCCCCTCTTTGGGCCTCAGTTTCCCTCTCTGGATGGACCAGATCCGGGGTCCTCGAGCCTTCGGACCCCGGCCAGAATCACGCTTTTAAGTAACTGAAGGAAATGCTAGTTTCCGTCAGAGAGCCGACCAACAACGATCACATCCACGGAGCGCCGCGGAGAAGAGGAGAACAAAAGGCAGGTCCTGCCCTCGGGGAGCTCCCCGTCCGACACCACAACAAAGGTGCACCCCTTTCCTCCACCCACTCCGCGGCCCCGGGGGCTCTGCTTCTAGGTCCCCTCCCCCCGGCCAGGCCTCGGCTTTCCCGTCGGCCAAAAGGGCAGGAAGCCCCCTCGTCCCCGGCCTCGGACCCTCCGCGGCGACTTGGGGGAGCAGCAGGGGTGCAGCCGGGGCCTCCTCGGGCCTTCCCCCCGCCTCCCGCCGGCCTCCCCCGCCCCCTCCAGGGCCCGCGGCCCACACTCACCCTCCTGGAATTTGGGCTTCGGGTCCTGCTTCGGCGCCATTTATGAACGACTCTCCGCCTCCGCCTCCAGCTTCTCCGCCTCCTCCCTCCGTCGTCGTCGTCGTCCCCGCCGCCGCCGCCGCCGCCACCGCCCCGCGCCACGCCCAGCCGCGCGTCACGCCCGGAGCCGCCCCCGGCCTGATTCGCCCGACGGCCCGCAGGCCGCGCGCGCGCCCCTGGCCAAGGACTGCAGTGACTGAGCGCGCATGCGCACGCCTCGGCGCACGCGCAGGCTCGCCCCGAGCCGCCCGGAGGCATGCTGGGACGGGAGTTGGCTTGCTTTCACCTATCCCCATGTCGCTCCTTAAGGAAAGGCAAGAAGAGCGTTTAGTAAGTGCCTGGTATTTGCCGCAGACGGGGCAGAAAGCCGTTCCTGCCCTCGAGGAGCTCAGATGGGAGAGATTACTTGCTGTTCATTTTGTTTTACTTTGAGTTCCAAATTCTCTCCCTTCCTTTCCCCATCCATTGAGAAGGCAAATTTACCCATTATCCACGGGAAGTGGCTCAAAACCGCTTTCCATATTAGCCAAAGGAGATAATTTCCTAATAGATGAGCAATAGAAAGGGTAGACTGGAGATCATCTCTGAGTCAAAACACATTTATTAATCGCCGACTGTTTACTAGGCACTGTGCTGAATGTTAGGGAAATTGCATGCTCTCAAGGAACTCTCCGCCTAATGGGGGAGAGAACACAAAGCAGTTATCTATGTATAAGCAGGCTATATCCAGGATAAGTTAAAGGTAATCTCAAAATAAGTGAGCATTTATTAACCACTTACTATGTGCCAGGCATTGTGCTGTGCTGGTGTGTGGGACAACTGAAAGTTTCTCATATAAAATGGAAACTATGCTCCAAAAATGTAGTAAGGCTTTAGCATGAGCTGAGCCTAAGTTTCACTTTCCTGTAACTCTTATGTTTTGAGGGAAATAAAGTCCTATACAGCTCTTTTTGGGGTGGCAAAGAATTGGAAATTGAGAGGGTGCCTATCAACTGGGGAATGGCTGAACAAGTTGTGGTATATGAATGTAATGGAATACTATTGTGCTATAAGAAATGATGAACAGGCTGACTTCAGAAAAACCTGGAAAGACTCGTATAGTCTGATGCTGAGTGAAGTGAGAAGAACCAGGAGAACTCTGTGCACAATAACAGCCACGTTGTGTGATGACTAATATTGTTAAACTGAACCCTTCTCAGCATTACAAGGATCTAAGAAGTCTCCAAAGGCCTCAGGATGGAAAATGCTGTCCACATCCAAAGAAAGAACTATGGAAGTCAAATCGCTATCACTTATTTTTACCTTCTGTTGAGTTTTGTTGCATCTTTCTGATGGTTCCTCCTATTGGTTTTAGTTTTTACTTACAACTTCACTAATGTGAAAATATGTTTCATGGGTATGTAACTGTAAAGCCTATATCAGATTATGCCCCGTCTTGGGGAGGGTGGGGGGAGGAAGGGGAAGAATAATTTTCAACTCAAAAGCATATGGAAAATAAATTAATAAAATTTTTTAAAGAATTCAAAAAAAAAAAGAAATAAAGTCCTATACCCCCTGCCCACTCCCTCCCTTGTTTTGTAATCACTACTGCAGCCTTATCTTTGCCAAAAGGAAATCTGCAAGCTTCCAAGCTTGTTTTGGGTAAAATGTATCTCTTAGTTCCTGGGTAAAGTTGTTTGTCTCTTACCTCAGCCAATGGAGATAAACAGATTCGGGTAAACAAGTGGGTTTCTTAACAGTTGTTTGTCTAAGGGTATATAACTGCTTGTTTGCTGCTTGGATCCTACTTCCCTACTCCAGTCTGCCCTGGGTAGGTGATGCCCAACTCTCTCTCGAGATTTGCTAGAATAAAACTTCTGTTTTCTACCTGGAGAAACCTCTGAGTTTTTATTTGGGTAAGTGGTCTCAATCCCACTCAGTTGGGGCTCATCCGGTATTTTCTTTGAGGAGGGGCCTTTCCTACAGAGGTCAAGACCAAGCATGCATCCGAGATTTCTTGGAGGTGTTGAGCCCTGGAGGGAGGTTGCTGCCCAGTCTTTGAAATAAACCCGAAGAGAGGTACTCAGAGAAACAGAGGGCTTGTTAGGGCTCCAACGACTAAAAACGAAATCGAGAAATTCCAGCCCACCTGTGAGTGAGAGCAATGTAACTTGTATGCGCGCAACCCGGAGGTAAGCATTCAGGGGTCTGGAGGTAATTGGCATAGGGTGAGGGCCTTTTAGGGCAGACTGTAGTTTAGGCAGAATCTGGGCCTAACCAAATTTTGGAATAAATACCTCATCGAAAGGACGCGTCTGAGAAAGCTTCACGGGTGACTGGTGAGGAGTGGGCAATGCTTCTTGGTGATTCGGTTGAGTCTTCAGACTCGGAAGTTCGGTGACAACTCCCGTAAATTCCCTACGTGAGGGCCTAGGGGTTCCCTAAAAATGGGAAAGGGACAATCTAAATCTGTGCAGTCGGAGTGCAAATGTGAGGTACCTATAGACAGTCCTTTAGGCAATCGATTGCAGAATTGGAATGAACTACGAAAATATAGAGGAAAGGATAGGAAGAAAATGATTAAATATTGTTGTTTCATGTGGGCAGAATGGATATTGGCGGGCAGCACTGCATGGCAGAAATTTGGATCCTCCGAAGATTGGATATGCCAGAAGCTAAATTTATATGTGAATGCTAAGGAACCTTTTAATCAGGAGGAGAGTTCCTATGCGGCACTCTGGATGCCTAAAGTGCAGCAGATGTTGGTGAGGGGCAGGGAAAGAGAGAAGGAAAAGATTCAGCCTCAACCTTGGGACCCTCTCCTTTCCCTACGCCCTCCCTATGTTCCTCCTCCTCCAGGGGCTGCTCCTAATCCTAATCCTGGTCCTATACCAACTCTGGCTCCCCCTGAGAAGGACCCAAAGGGCGGTCTTATCAATTTACAGGAGTCTCCCCGTGTGCCCTTAAAGAGAGAGTTGAAACAACTCCTGAAGGACCAGGAAAACCTACCTCTTGAGCCAAAGCAATCAAACATGTTCCCTTTAAGGGAAGTTCCTTTGGCCTAATAGGGTTTCGGGTTTGTGAACGCTCCTTTGAGCACCACTAAGGTTAGGAGCTTTAAGAGAGAGATGAAGATCTTGATGGAAAACACAAGTGGCCTCTCAGAGCAATTAGATCAGTTTCTGGGCCCAAATGTTTATACTTGGAGTGAACTAATGTCCATTATGAATGTCCTATACCCTTTTGAGGAGAGAGGGATGATTAGAAGGGCCGCTATGGTAGAATGGGAACTGAGGCACCCGCCTGCGGCCTGGGTGATACTGGCAGACCAAAAATATCCAACCCTTGACCCTAGGTGGGATTATAATAATGCAGCCCACAGAACACATATGCAGGATCTGAGACAATTGATTATTATTGGTATCAGGAATGCCACCCCAAAACCCCAAAATATAAAGAAAGCTTTTGAAGCACAAATTACAATTTGTGGAACGGGAGGTGAAATATCTGGGACATTAGTCAGTGAGGGGCAGAAGAAGCTGGACCCAGAGTGGGTGGCAGGAATCCTTCAAACTTCCCTCCGGAAAACAAAGAGGGAACTCAGAAAATTCCTGGGGTTAGTAGGATACCGTAGAAATTTGATTGATTCTTATGCTCCTTCACAAAACCTTTGTACCAATACTTATTGGAGGAAGAACCAGAGCAAATTAGATGGGGCCCTGAAGGGGAGGAGGGATTTAAGAAGTTGAAGGAAGTCCTCACCTCCCCTCCCATTTTGACACTTCCCTCACTGGAGAAACCCTTCCACTTATTTGTAAACGTAGACAAAGGAGTAACACTGGGGGGTCTTGACCAAAATCAGGGGAGCGCAGAAGAGACCTGTGGCTTTCTTATCAAAAATCTTGGATTCTGTGGCCAGAGGGTTGCCGACCAGTATTCAAGCATTAGGGGTTACTGCTATACTGCAGGAGAGTAGGAAGCTGACCTTTGGGGGAAGCTTGAAAGTGAGTGTGCCCCATCAGGTGCGAGCCATCCTGAATCAAAGGGCAGGGAGGTGGCTTACAGATTCCAGAATTCTCAAATATGAAGCCATATTACTGGAGAAAGATGATTTAATGCTATCACAAGATAATCACTTTTAAGTCCTGCCTCCTTTCTGACTTCAGGGGGTGGAGATGCATCTGAGTTAGAATATTATTGTATTGACTTTATTGATCTTCAAACTCGGGTCCGGGAGGATTTGCAAGAATCCCCAATTCCCAGAGGAATCAATTTGTTCATTGATGGCTCCTCTAGGGTGGTAGAAGGGAAAAGAAGAAATGGATATGCTATTATTAATGGGGATCAAGAATCCTTGGTTGAAACAGGAAGTTTACCAATAAATTAGTCTGCCCAAATATGTGAACTATATGCCTTAAATCAGGCATTGAAATTATTAAAAGGAAAGGAGGGCAATGTTTACACTGATTCAAAGTATGCCTGGTGAATGGTTCATATTTTTGGGAAAATCTGGGAAGAAAGGGGAATGGTTAACAATAAAGGAAAGGAATTAGCACATACTACTTTAATTAGTCAGATCTTAGAGAATCTAATGTTGCACGAGGCCGTAGCCGTAATACAGGTGGATGGCCATCAATCTGGGCAGTCCTTTGAGGCCAGGGGCAATTGCCTTGCAGATGAGGAAGCAAAAAGGGCAGGGATGACAGAACCTGAGCTACTTAGTCACACATTAGTTCTGATCCCCTCTTTTCCTCTGAGTCTCCCTTCTCCCTCCTTTACCGAGGAAGAAAAACAGAAGGTGCTGGCATTGGGGGCACAGGAGAAGGACGGGCAATGGCTCCTCCCAGATGGAAGAGAGGTACTGACCAGAGCAGGTATGAGGCGGGTCCTTCAACATTTACACCAGGGTAGTCATTGGGATGTTCAGAACCTATGTGATGCCATCCTGACTCGGTACATGTCTCCTGGTCTTTATACCTTGGCTCGGCAGTTGGTAAACCGGTGCCTTGAGGTCGAAGGACAAACAACTCTGCGTTGTGCCAGACTCCAGTAGAGGAAAGGCCCCCAGGTCTTAGACCTTTTCAGAGCATCCAGGT